CCAATTGGGACAGACTTTAACAAAATAATGCTAATCGCCAGGAGACAGATTGATAGCGTCGCGATTGTTCATCTTGGGTGGGGGATCGTTCGAAGTTAAACAAATTGAGCAGCTGATATTCTCGTTATATCACTCGTTGTTCAGAGTGTGTGTTCGTCCACATTTGTGTATGCCGCCTCAAAGAAAGAAGAGCAAGGGAGATGGCGCAACTCCCTTTGCGTGGGTAAGTAGGGGGGCTGACTCAACCAACGCGGGGAGATTGCGCAATGCGTAAAGTTGCGAGCCGGCCGCCCTATGAACCCAAGCTTTGCTTGACATTTTGAGCATCGGGAAAACTGAAGGGCTCTGCTAAGGAGGCGAGCTTGGTGCCATATGAAAGGAATTGTTGTTCAGCTGGATTGGGATTTACGGGAAACGCAACTCCCGGCTTGCTTCTAGAGATGGCGTTGTGCGGTGAGGCGGAAGTCGCACTTGCGTTTTTCCCCTGCCTAACGAGGGCCAGGCAGTACGCTGCAATGACTTTAATGACTTTCTTTGGCTGTCACAAGTTTCACGTGCATGCCCACAACTGAAAGGAATTCCCTACTGAGAGCCAGCAAGGGCAGGGAAGAAGCTGATTCATGAAGCTTGCGGAGAGCTGGAGAAGCTGATGTTGAAGAAACAACTCGTGTGAATGAGGCAATAACTCCTATGAACTCTGAACAAAGGTGATTCCCCACTGAGAACCCGCAAGAAGAACGATCGGCGTTCGTGCTACACGCGCCTCCCGCCTTCCACGCCTCTCTGGCAAAGCTTTTGCGCCGAGGATGGCGCCGGGCTTCAGGCGCGGGCAAAACACAACGCTCACAGCCGGTTTTCTGCGCGTTGCCCGGGTTTCTCTCAGAAGTGCAGCCCAGTCCTTCAAGGATGCCTGCTATCGCGGTAACTGAGATGCCCTCAGTACCACCAGGGCCCCAAGAAGTAGAATGGGGTGGTGGGGTGCTTTGAAACAATTTCAGTCATGAACGCACCAGAATAATCTTGGAAATTAAGCATTTACTCTGCATATTTTGCCCAGATGAGAAGGCAAGGTTGTCAAATGAAGCTGGGTGCTATTTTGCTGCACAAAAGCCACTACAAGGGGACAAATATTCTTCAGCTTTTGAACTCGAAGCTGGTAAGAACAGGGGATCGGGGAAGCTTTGGGGGGTGTCAGATATGGGATGGCCATTTCGTTCAGTGTTTTTTTTTTGTTTTTTGTTTTTTTCCTTTTTTTTTTTGGGGGGGGGGGGTGATGTTTAAAAGGGGACATGTGGGGCGCCCCATTTTTTAGGGTTTTGGGGGTCGGTTAAAAGAACACCAAAAGGGAGACCACGATTTCAGCGGTCCCCCCTATGTTGACACGTCGAATCCTGACTGTCATGTCACGCCATCGAACAGGCCGCCCTTTGGGCAGATGCAGGGCTATCCGAGGCTGTCGGGAGCTCAAAGAGATTGTTGCAGAGTTTGACGAAACAGTTTCGTGGACCCATGTTGGGGTGGTTTTCAAGGGAACTTAAAAGGAAACGCTGTTGGGGCGCAAGGGTTTGAGTTGCCCAACCCTCCGCAAAGGATGTTTGGAGTCATCCCAGACACTTTTCTCAACCCTTTTTTGGAGGGGCGTCCCTGAAATGCAGTGTGTCAAGCATGGGGTTGCACCCGTCAACATTCATGTTTTTGTTCGAAGAAGCAACGGTTTAAAAGTTGAGTCTACGTTTTCTGGTTTGATCGGTTTTATTACGCCTCTGTTATTTCATTTGTTGCCGTCGTCCAGTTTGCTTAGGTTTGCCACCACATCTTTGGGGTGTCCATTTCTCTACTCCCATTTTGTACTTGAGGTGTTTCTCGGTTGCCGCTGTTCAGTCTACTTAAAATTATCAGCATGTTTTTTTTGCCTAGAGGCCACCAAAATCAGGGCTGGGTTGGAGACAGCCCGAAGCTACGGCCTGATTTGCGGCTGGTGGCAATCACTGCGCGTGGCGATCCCATGAGAAGTTGTCACTCCTTATAGTCAGCAACAATCAGTCAGCACATGGAACCCACTAGTTCCTTGTGGATATATCTCGAAACAGTGAACGATCATAGTGGCAGGCAAACGGCTAGCTAGGCTTTCGTTTTCCGACCAGAACAAAGGTCCACCATTTTGAGGATCCCCAAGACCAACCATTCACTATAGGTGGGCTAAATAATTGGCCATACTATTCTCTTATGTTCACTCAATACGGGTTTAACATTCTTCAACCTCATCAAAATTGTTGAACGGCCCTTGGCCTCGCACTGTCGAGGCCTACGCAGCCTGCCGTATCTGATGCCAGCGAGGCGGTGGCCTGTCAGTCAAATCAGCCCACACAGGGGGTCCTTTTTTGGGCTTGGAACGAAGAGTTGGGTTTGGACACATTTGGCGGTGGCTAAAAAACATGGTACCACAATGGCACCTTTGCAAATGGAACCAAAGCCTAAAACCTGCGTAACCCTAGCTCTTCAATTTTGAGCCGTGCCCATTTGTTTGATGCCGCGTGTTTGTTTTGTTTGGGCATCAAATTGGGTGGTTTTCGCCTGGCTGAAGGTGCCAATCCTTTGCTCCCAATTCCGATAGACTCCTAGGGACTGGCTGTGCCACTCCTTTGGTGTCGCTTGTGGCGGCAGTCAAAGCCCCGCTCTTTCCGTGCGGCTTTCGCCCATCCGCGGGTCCACTGGCTTTGACGCAAGTGACAGGTAGGGGACAGGCCCAGCCAGTGCGGGAAGTCCGGCCCTGAAGTCTCACTTCCCCAGTTCCTGGACTTCTTTGTTTTGGGGGGAAGGCCATTTAGCCATTTTAGTGGTAAGCACAGTTCAGACTTTTTCTCAACCCACCAACCCACTCAGGACGACAGGAATTTCTAGAAGGGAGTTCGCCAACCCCTTGGGATTGAAAGGATCGGCCAACTTCTTGTAGATATTCCTGTAATATGGATGTAGGACCTGCATCTACTATTTGTGATACCCAGAGACCTCCCTAGTGACAAAGAAGTCAGGGGAATGTCGATTGCATCACCACGTCAAACCGACTTTCCACAATGATCTCCCGCCGAAGCGGTGCCCGATTCACTTAATGAATTTGACGGCCAGGGCTCATCCCCTGCGGTGGGCCAGGCAAGCGGGAGGGTTTGATGCGCCATCCTTGGGGCTGGCAGTGATATCGGTGGAAGGCCTGTAGCAGACAGGGAGCTACGGAGCCCCGTTTGAATGAGCGCGTTTGAACGGTGCCCCTTTCTTATTATCTTGGACACCAAACGGAAGCCGCCATTTTGTGGGTTTCCCTTTGCACATGCCCATTTAATACCAACAATCTCTGGGCAGAAGCGTTGTTCCATACAAAACGAGGATGGGAACCCAAGATTTGGGGCAACCTCCAGCTTGTATGCGCACCCGACTGCGCTTTTTGTTTAATGGTTTCCAGGTAGGGGAGAATTTAGAGTGGATGGACGTTCTGGGTTTGCTTTCTAAACCGGCCCCAGCCCGGACCACTCGCATTCATATGGTTCGCGCGTGTTACCAGGACTCATTCCTGCCATTGGTCAGGAGAGACATGATGGTCTCCATGACCCCGGCAATCCAACAGAAAGGTTCCAAGAACTCTACTAAGAGCCCTTCTTAAGAAGGTTAATAGAACATTTGCTAGGGAGTGGTGGGTTTAGTTGGGCTTCCTTCCCAATGGAGAAACAGACAAGGTCAGGCAAAGGCCTGGGAGGACATATCATCTATATATAGAGCCATTTTCGCAAAGCCAGAGCCAATCAGCTAATGGCTCAGTTCCAATTTTGGGATTGTTTTGGCCAGTTGTGTGCAGGCACTCGACGCTGGAAACAGAACCTCCCGTTGGAAAAGGAGTCCAAGCATTGAATTGGACCATCGAAAACAGAGGATTTCAAGGGCAACTGCTGGCAACAATGACCATTTCTGGTGGTTTAAGTTCTACTTCTGGACACCCACGTTTGGTACCACCTGAAAAGACGCAACAAATGTGGCCCCCACGAGGGAGCTCGAGGGGCTGAAGTTTGGGCCTCAGAGCGGCGGAGCCGAGCCACTTTGCCCGGCAGGCGAGGAAAAGGCGAGACTATGGGCCTAGCAATGCAATTACACGGCAATTTTTAGTATCCCAAAAGGGAAGCCAAGGAGAGATGAGCACTGGGGCCTGTCCAATAGTTAGAATGGGGTTGTGGGGCATCAAAGCAAGTTGACTCATGATCAGAATCAAGCCCCGTACAGCTTTCTTACAAAAACGATCTCCACCAGAGGCTTCTTGCCAGTCGCCCTTGTGTTCCATCGCGCGGACGGTAGACCCCCAGCTTCAGTCTCCGTTCGCCAGGGCTTCAGCGATAGCCTGCCGCCGCAGCTTGGCTCAGTGGGCCATCTACCCTACGCTTGGTGGGGAGGTGGGGCTTTTTGCCCTCAAGGGGTTCAAGAAAGCCCCGCACCCCCAGATAGCCCCCCTAAGTACCGCCTGACAGTTCTTCTTTTTTTGTTGTTGTTGTGTTTCCCCCCCTCCCCGGAAGCGGGACCTCTCTACTAATTAACGAGGGTTTATGAATCCGAACCCACAACATTTACCGATAACTCAACTCAACTCAACTCCCTTTGTCCGGAGAGTCTTCAAGCAGGAAACACTCCAGGGGAACGCTAAAGTGTGTTTCGGCTCTGCTGCTTCTGTTGATGCTTTGAACTTTCCCCGAGCAACTTTCATTCCCCAGTTTTTGTGTGCTCTCGTTTGAGCATGGTTACATAGATGTCATTATGCCGTTGAATTAGGTTGCACCACTACCGGGCATTTGGATCAGACACCAATGTTTGCCAAGTTGAAGCCGCAATGAACATTGCCTGCCCGCAAAAGTAAAGCAACCACCCATGAAGCGGGAGCAAATGATTTCAGAGTCTAGTTGCTGCTTGATGGATCTTCCCGCTTTGGGGTGGCAGCAAAGCTCGGAAACTGCCTTCCCTTTCCTATGCTGGGTGCCTGTTTGTGGGACAATGACACCGACAAGGGCCAACCATGACAACGGGAAAATAATCAGACCGACAACAGGAACAGCTAAAGCAGCTAGAGCAATCTAGAGCGACTAGAGCCACACTAGGAGCACCAACATTGCTTGACCAGGACTATTTTTGGCGGACCACCCAAAGGTCGCACTCCATTTCCTGTTTCGTCATGTGGGGGGGGGGGGTCTTTTGTCAGACATATCCCATTTTGGTTCAAATCGGCAAAATGTTTGATCAGAAGTGTAGTGTTTCCCTCTCAAAAACAAGCAACACGTGGTTTCCCTTTCAAACAACCCCTCTCCTCCCCCCGAAGAGATCCGGAAAACACGTGCGTCCGTTCTCTCCAACAGCATGAACCACAGCCGCCCGAGGATGCGGCCTCCAAAGCCCTCCATCCAGGCTGGGATTCGGGGGTTCGGCGAGCAACAGAAGAAACGAAGACGCCCCTGCCTGCTTTCGCCCCTCACCTAACCCGGGAACCCTTATAGAAGTGGTTTGGATTATTTGTTGGGGATTTGAACTGGCTTGGGTACAAGGGAAACCACCCCTTAACCACCAATCCAAATCAATCAGAGGGCCCTTTTGGCTTTTAAAGGGTGGCAAGCCTTTCGTTGCCTACACGTGGGACCGGAATCACTGGGCTGAATATTGCAAGCCAACCAACCACAATCAACCAAAGAACTGACTTAGGGTGATTTCAACAGATAGTGTGTGGCTTCCTTTTTCCCTGTAAACCAGCTGGCGTTTTTTTCTCCCTAAGCCAGCCCCAAGGAGGCGAGCCTCAAAGCGCGCTGCGCCTCGATCCAGCCGAGGCCCAGCGGACAGCCAACACCTACAGCATGAGGCGGATGGATCGAAAGGGATCGGGACACGGGGGGTGGCGGGGGGGTTTTTGTTTCGGGGGATTTTGGTTTCCCTTGAAAACCCGCCAAAAGAGGGTGTCCCTTGAAAACCAGCCAAAACAAGGTTCCCCTCCAAACAAGAGGGTTGCTTCCTTTTTCCTTTTTGTTGAGGGGAGTTTCCTTGAACCCTTGGGGGCGAACTGCCAACAGTGAAGTGCCTCTGTTTTTACCATGGCGACCAGTTTTCATTGCAAGACCTTACTTTGCTTGTTTGCCTTTTTTGATTCTCCTCTAGTGTTCCTTTCAAACAGCAAGCAGTCGGCCCAGTTTTGAGGGGCAGGGGATTTACCCCGGTGAGTCGCCAAGGTGGTCTTTCTTCTAGGATGACTGTATCTTGAGCCTGGGTTGGTGAAAGGCCCGGGCGGGGGGGGGGGGGGCTGAAAGTTCCTTCAAGTGAGGGGTTGTTTTGGTTTAGGTTTTGGGACTCCTCAAGGGTTTGGTTTTGGTTTAGGTTTTGGGATGACGATTTTCTCGGAAGCGCAGATCTGGTTGTGGTTGGCTTCCACTGGCTTCTCTTCCAAGACATGATTTGCATAGCAACAAGGAGGTTGTTTAAACCACGGTTGCACATGTTATGGGAAGGGGTTGGCCCGATTTTTGGCTGGGCATTGTTCCAGGGCCATGGGGGCCCTGGACCCCAGAAGGTTGCTCCCAGAGCTCCAGTGCCATTGCTTTTCCTTTGCCAGGGTTGCGCCTCGGTTGGCCCTTTTTCAACCAAATGCCCCCCCCCAGAGAGACGGCAACGGATCCGCGGATCCGCAGGTCAGAGGTGCCGCCCTTCGTGATGCTGCTGGACGCTCGCATGAAACTGTCTGTGGATGTGTGTGGTTTGGTTTGGTTGTTATTGCCTGGTAGCAAGACGCGGAGCTGAATGCGGGTGTTGTTCACTTTAGGGTTTTGGGTTCTGTCAGTTGCGGGTGTTGTTCACTTTAGGTAAGCTTTAGGGTTTTGGGTTGCCACTGTCAGTGATACAAAGGGAACTCCCTTGCTCAGTCTTCCCCAATCAACCAGCAAACAGTTGTCACTCTTTGCAGGGGGTCTAAGGTTGCCCATACCACACCCCGACATGCCTTGGGGGTCTCAAGAGAAGCTATTTTGGAGGGCCCAAAATCCACCGATGTAATTTGGCTTCTCGTGTTGTTCTGGTGTCCCAGGATGGAGTGCGGATTAGGTTTCGAGCAACCCAGCGGGATGATTTTCCAACCTGGGCCTGTTTCTTCACCTCCGTCCTAGACCGTACCTCTTTGTTTGTGGGCCCAAAGAAGAGGTTGGGGGTCGAAAAGAAACGAGCGTTGTGGCGAGTCTAAGTCGCTCGGGCGGGCCTCAGGAAGGCTTCTGCGAGCGCATGCTCTCAGACACGCCCAGGTGGCAACTGCTCGGTGCGCGGGTCATGGGAGCGATTGTTCACTAAAATATGTGCCTGTGCTTGTTGGTGTACCTTGTTTTGGGTTGGTTTAAAGGGAAACCGAAAGGAACCCCCCACCTGTTCTGGGGTCCCCCTAAGGGTCACCCAGCAGCTCCAATGGACCTCTCAACAACACGCGGGCTGCTAAGGGGGATGTTTCCTTCGAATGGGTTTCCTTCATTGTGTCTCCTTTAAAAAGCGCGGGTCACACACTCCCTTGTTTTGATTGGAATTAGGAGGGGGGGGTAAGCTCAACCGCAGGAGTTCGTGTTATGGCTTCATGAATAAGGTGCCCAATACACACCTCCTCTCCGGGCGGTCAGGGCGAAACCATGGGTTTTTCCCATTGTTTCAACAATGATTGTTTAAAGGACATCCTTTCGTTTCTATTTAAATTGGACTTGGGGCCGCGTTTTGGTTGCTTAAACATGGGCCGTAGCCTGTGTTGAGTTTTCCAAATCACCTTTTTTGATTTGGCCTTGGCTCAAAAACGGGTACCTTAGTAAATGGAACCAAAGACTAAAACCTGCGTAACCCTGGCTCTTAACTTTTGAGCCACACCCATTTGGTTTCGAGGAGGCCACTTGGATGTTCGCCAAGTCAGCAAGTGGGTAGCCACCTCGATGTCAGGCGCTGAGCCAAACGCGGCGAGTGAACGGGCGCGAAGAGCTTCGCATGTTGGGCCACGGTGACGCGCTCCGAGGATGCCACCCACAGGTTGCCCGTGAATGTTTGGACTCACTTCCTTGAGTTCATGAACTTTGATCTTTTTGGGAAGACCATTTTAGTGGCAAATATCAAGTTTGTACTTTTTCGTGGGCCATCCACTCAGCAAGTGAGTGGAACGCCCTCCGGTCCCAGACAACTTGCCAACTGGTGCAGGAGTGTGTTCCCCACTTGGGAGGACCCTTCGTGTGGATGTTCTTGAGGTGCGCCGCTTGTCATTGTAGAAACGTGCCCAGGCCTCGTAGAGACACCCCAAGACCTTCAAATAAGCTCTTTGTCCATATAGCCACTCCCAGTTGGGAGCTTTTGGGAGCTTTTGTGTGATTCCATTTTCCTATGTCTACTTTGTCACATGTTTTTGTTTTGTTACTAAGCGACCCTTTCGTGATCGGAATTCGGTGAGTCCTGATTCATGTCCATCAGCCACCTTTTGCAGGCTTGCCTTGGCTGACGGAAAGGTGGCAACCAGCGACGTCCATGGTCCGGAAATGCGTCCTTGGAGGGTACTCTTGGGGTGGCTTTAGAAGGATGCCAAGCCGGCAAAGACTGTTTTAAGACAGTCACACGCGCATTTGAAGGGGGCGTTTGACACGTCCAACAGACTGGTAGTCTCTCTTCCCCTAGTGACCCCCAAATTTGATGCGGGCCTGCCCAGGCCGGAGCGGAACTTTGGCTTGCTTACAGCGCACCCAGATGGAATGGTAGTTCTGTTTCCATGGTTGGACATGTGTTTCACAGAATATTCCCATGCCAGTGGCCCCTCAATGGCTTGTTGCGGCCACCAAGAGTGGCGGTCCCAGTTGAAGCCACCAGCCATTGGCAATGGAGCTCTTTCAACCCCCTTCGTGCACCTAAAGCCATCCCCTCAAAGGCACTTTACCCCAGTTGTTCAGCACTCTTGAAATCCCAAATTTGCTGGGGCGTTCCGCCTCACTAAGAAGGATGGTCCTGGCCCCCGAAAAGGGTGCCAATTCTGCCACCAATCTAGGGCTACCTTCCCCATTCTTTCCAGGAATCCTTCTTTCTAGAAAACCTCCAGAAACCCAGGGAAAATGGCTAGAACGATGGTTGAACAGAATGGAAAGGAATCAACCCCTAGAACCAAGGTCACTGAACAACTGGCTGAAGGAGTCGATCCCCCGGTACCGTGACTTTGGTCCAGCTGAGCCAATGTGCCAGGTTGGCGGACGTGGGGGCCGTTTGCCTGGGCCGTGCTTCCAGTAGGTAAGCTTCTTGCGTCTAGGTTTTACATTCAGGTAACCCTCTTCAATTCTATCAGTTGGTGGTTTGGATACCGTTGGCTCTTGTACAGGGTAAAAGGGAAGCCCCTTAACCGCCAAACCACCAATTGGAGGGAAGCTGATACATGGTGGAGTTTTTTCTGGTTACCTGCTACAGCTGTAGGCACTGATGGGAAGTCATAGAGCAAGGAGCCTCAGCAGTAGGGGGGACTATTCTAGAAGTTGCACCCCGATTCTTCTCACGCATCGGTCTTTTGAGAAACGACCTGAACTGGGAAGTTCTCTGTATAGAAGAGTTCTCGAAAAAGAATCGGGGAAGTGCAGCTAGAGACTTTGCTCAAATTGAGGTATCGCAAAAAACACAAACTGCACTTTGGCTTCCGCACAGATGTAGCTTTAATGGCGGGCACCTTCCATGGTGGTAGGTGGGCAAACATCCCAACAGAAGTGCTGTTCACTATAAGGACCTCAATAAGAGGCATGCCCAAATAAGTTTGATCTAGTTCGGACACATTTTCAGAGGGGCAAACGTCAGCAAACATCAGCGCAGAACACATGGCCGCCGCGCTCTTGAGAGACCCGGGAAAGCGGCTGCCACGAAACATATGCGAGCGATTGAATCGCCCGGAAAAAAAAAGTGGTGCCGACGGAGTGCAGATGTGCTCAATCTTATTTCAGTTTGGGCTGCCAATCGATGGATTCCACTTTTATCATTATGGAATCCGCAAGGGGTGGTAGGTACCACGGCGGTGGGTAGATGAGAAGGGTTCCTTATGGTTCCTTAGGATCCCCCCCTCCATATTTTAGTTTGGCTGAATTTGTCATTTGCCAGTCGAGGCCATCTGTTCTGGGGATCCTAACCCCACTACCCTTTCCCGTTCCCAAGACAGGCACAGTAGAACGTGCTGCTTCTTTGTGGGTTGGAATCCTGTGATTGCCGTGCGAACAGTTTGCACATGGGACACCAAGTAGACTTTCTGGAGAGGAATCATCAGGTAAGTTACAACTGCATCTTGAGTTTTCAGGTGCTAAGCTGAGTTGTTTGTTACATCAGTTTACACACCCAAAATAAGAAGAGAACATCGAACATCACCTTGGAAATGGAAAACCTCGGCGGGACGACTTTTTTGGCTACAGCAGTGAGTAACCAGAAGACCCAGCAAACTAGAAACGAAGAGGTGAGGCCGTGGTCCTATTGCAACACTCCAATCATGACACTGCAGTGTATTTAGATTTGGAAACCCTTCAAAATGGTTTGCTGATGCAACTCTCCAATTGACGTCCCCCAAAAGGTCACTAAGATTCGCACAGCAGAAAAAAAATGGAGTGACAGGGGAAACATCTAACTACACACCCTCAGCACCAACTTCTAGCCGCTCAGCTGCCCAGTCCGTTGGAACCGAAACCCAAACGGCTTAAATTGGTCAGCGTCAAAATGTCTCAACAGCAGCTCGCCCACCTATAGACTGTTCAACGGGTCCAGGTTGTTTCTTTGTTTTTAGGTCCCCTTTTTGTCTGCTGCGGGCAAGGGGCGGCTCCCCTTGAAGCTCCAACTCGAGCAAATCCGTCCGAGCCATGCCGAAGCGGAAATCTCTGCCGAAGGCGCTGCCTGCGAATGTGTCCTTCGTGGGAGGAGCCGAGCCAAGCCGGCGAAAGCGGCGCTTTTGCGGCCTTGAAGGGGAAGTTTGTGATTCATATGATTCATATATATATATACATATTCATATATGTATTGCATGTATCGTATATATATATATATCGTGTAGTGCTATTCTCATTTTGGATCTTTTTTGCTGACTCTCATAGTTAAACGCTATGATATCTAAGATCCAAGGTCCCAACTATGTACCCCTGGGTAGGTGCCCCTGCAAAATACCACAGAAGCTGAAATACAGTATGATTACATACATGGTTTCTAGCCATCTTTTCCAGGGGGATGCCAGGGGTACCTGCCCAGGGGCACGTGGTTTGGTCCCCAGATAAGAAGCAGAAGAAACGCCCCGTCTCCAGCTCCGATTTCAAGGAGACAGCCAGCCCTCGTCCGGTGGCAAGACCCCAGCCCTGGCGGGCGGCGCTGAGAACGCCGTGATTTCCTCCATGAAGCCAGGCGCGGAGTCGGAGTCATTCGGCCGATGTTTTTGGTTCAACGAGCGACTCGTAGCCAGGATGTGGGTCCTTCACTTGGGGATCCATTTTTCTTGTTTGTGAAACATGTTATGAATCGACATGTTGTAGAATACATGCAGATTGATCCAGCGCCTTTGAGGACCGAAACTCCCTAGTTGGAACAGTTTCAAGAGCAAGCCATTGCCTGACCAATTGTTTTTTGCCTGTTTAGTTGGAACAGATACGGCAAACAGGATATTGCATCACAGATGATGATTCCATTTTCCCGGAAGAAATGGGCAAATCAAATCGGAACGCTATTGGTTGGAAGTCTGTCGAAATGTCCAGATTTGGCTATGGTCACCACAAGCAGGGACACACACATTTTTCCAATGATACTTGAGATTCTCATGATGCAGTGAGCAGCATGGGCTTGATCGGCCAAGCTGCATCGAGTTAGGGCCAGGATTGGGTGACTATGGCCCCCTGGTTCGTCGCAGTGCGGGGGCTGGGCGACATGGTGAAGATCGCTGGTTGGGTGGCGGGTGGTTGAGCAAAGCTGCGAAGGCGCAGTGGGCAGTTCCAGCGGTTGCAGACCTCTTGGCCTCAGTGGATGGCCCAAGGACTTGCTGGCGTTGGTCCGCAGCATCAAAGGCCGAAGTGGGAAGGCCTGTAGGCTCAGATGGAGGCGACGGAGAGCTCATGGGCGACCAAAGGAGAAGCTGGCAATACATGCCTTCAAGTTTGTGTAGCGCCTGCAGCGGAGCCAACTTGATGCAACCCCGGAAGTCCTGGCACCAAAATTCCAGTCTCATCATTGTGAATTCCACTTCTCGCACAATCCTTCTAGAGACATGGGAGAGGGGATGCAGGTTGGCAAAGGTATCAGCTTACCTCTCAGGGCTTGGCCGGCCTTGAACTCGTGCTGAAGGCGCGCCGCTCCTGGTGAACCGCTTCAGCCGGCCAAGCCCTGACAGGTACGCTGACGATACCTCTTGCCAACAAAGTCCCAATGGCCGGGGAATCTGGATGCCGCCTGGATGACTCCGCAAGCGGGGCATTGTGCCTAGCTTGCTGGCTCCTCCGTCAAGGCAACCACCTTCTCAGCCAAATGACTCTTGGACTCTGTTCAGCAATGGGCACACTAGCCTTCGCAGATGGCTTTTTTTTTGCCTTCCCACACGCCATCGGAATGGATTGCAACTCACTGTGCAAGCATACGAGTAGCTGGGTATGGTGGAAGAGGGTTCAGTCATAAGATGAGGAGCCGGTTTGTCCTCAGCAATGACAACTCCGCCTTTTCTTTCTGGGCACAGGGTCTGCCTTCCACCCGTTTGAGTCTCATGTTGTCCAAGGAGGTAAGTTGCAATTGTAATGATGCTAGTGTCTCCAGTTGCCCCCGTTTGTGCGCGTGTGAGCGGGAAGGCCCTTGCGTGTTTTTCAAAATAGGCATCGTGCATGGGCCGGGGGCATGCTCGATGAACCTTCAATTCCGGCTAGATTCTGGGAAACGACTTGCCAGACAGACCAACCTAGATTTTGACGGGTTGAAGAATGGATGGAGGCCACTCGGGCTGAGATACTAAATGCAAAGAAACCCTTAATTCCCGACAAGGACACCAAGGGGGAGACATGTGTGTTTGTTCCAGAGCCCTCCCAATTTAACACGGCAGTCGTGACGGTTTACTTTACGCGGTTGATTTCTATCGGGCATTCTATCGGGCATTTGTTCACGCCTGAAGTGAATAGTAGTTTCCATTCTTCATTTCACACACGGTAGGTTTAACGGGCCTTTTCGGGTGGGTTGTTGGAGGCGTGGAGGTTGTACTATTTTATAGCCAGCTTAGTTTGATTGGGGTAAAACGAGCTCAGGGTGATGCAGGTGGTTTTGGATGATAGAATTTGCAGATTATCTTCTTTATCGAAGGGGAGTAGGGCAGTAGATGTTTAGCCGAGAGGCATGTTTCGCCATTCAAACAGCTTGCCTCAGCGAGAATGAACATAAACGTCTCCGTGGTTTTGGCTTTGGGCTGGTTGGGTCGCGCTTGTCTGAAGTGCCTTCATCAGGTTGGGAACCATAAACCACCTGGGCCAAAAGAACCGCGGGCCCCGGATGAAACCGTCGAGAGGTCTCGTACGGGGAGAGTCGTGCCCGTGCCTGGCGTGCCCATCTTCGGGTCCAAGGGGCCGTTGAATCGCCTCGGAATAGAGGCCCTGTGGTTGGAGCCTACACCATCGCCGACATCAAGCACAAGTTTCAGACGCTGGATCAGACGCTCGATCTGCCACCAGGGCACCTGGATGTGTGTGGCGTTTTACGTTGCTTTTGTCGGTGATGTTTTTTTCTTGGATTTTGGTTGCCATTCTTTGTGGCTGCCCAGGGGCCTTTCCAAGTGACAAGTAGTAACGGGGCCTTTCAAGAGTGACAAGTAGTAACGGGGCCTTTCAAGTGACAAGTAGTAATGGGGAGGGGAACCCTATGTGAAAAATCGCCTAACTTGTTATTTTCCACCATCCAAGCAGGGGGCTGCGTCCGAAAAGAACTGCCCACCTCCCGCCTCCTGCTTCTCATGTCATGTTGGAGGTGTGCAGCTCTCTTGAAGGGGACATGTCCGCCGTCGTGCGCTTCCGCCCTCTCCGCTCTTGTCAGGGTTGTCTGTTTTGACTGCCTGTTGGAAACATGTTCCCCCCCCTTCATATGCCAAGATGTCTTTCATTGCAATGCCCTTGCCAGGCGAGAGAGGGCGGAAGTTGCAAAGCGTTTGGTTGAAGCAGGGCTTTCTATTGCCCATCTCAGGACCTTCGTAACCTACCATAACGGTATCCGGGATCCGTTGGCAGTTGGTTCAGTCTTTTGGTCCCTTGCAAGTTCTGGTTTGCTGGGACCATGCCAACGCCCGATTGGGTGTGCCCGTTTGGGCGTGCTTTCTACTGCAGTGGCGAGAAGCTCTTTGACATGGGTGCATAGCCCGTATTTGTGTTTATCCAGAAATCAACCAAGACAACATTGAGTAGTTTTGATAAATTGTCTGAGACTATTTGACGTCCCGTTGATGCTTTGTTTTTTCAGTTTTTTTGGAGACACGTGGCCAGACTGTCAAGATGAAAGTTATTTGTGGCCCCCATTGATGGTTTGACGACACAGTTCAAGGGCTTCCGCTCACATGTCCCCTGTTCTTCAGAGAGGTTCCAGGGTATTGGTTTGTTTGCCCTGCACGGATCCTGATTTGGGACCCTCTTTCTTTTGAGATTAAGGCTTCCACTACCTTTAAGGCAAAGTTAAAGTGACTTGGTTCGATAGCAGGGAATGAGACATGGATTGACCCCGATTTAAACCAGCCCCTCCGGTGTCCTTTAAGGGAATCTAGGTTCATTCCCAACACGCTGGGTCATTCCCTACTGAGCACCAGCAAGCTACCTTTGGGTGGGGTGATGCTTTTGGGGTCGGGCAGGAGCCCTAGCTTGGGCAGCGTTTGTATGCTGATTCATGAGGAATTGTTCAGGGCATAATGAACATTGCGAACAACTCACCTGGGGTTTGGCTTGCGACTGATTTCACCCATGATCCGGTTCCCATTTTTCTCATGTTGTCCAAACTTGCGTTGGGAAAACTGTGATTGCCTCCTTTCTGTCGGGTTCGTTTTTTGACTCGGATTCTCTTTGCTCGCGGCCATTTGGGCTCAAGTCACGGACTTGACCCCTTGATTGATCACGGATCTTTCTCCTTTTGATCACGTAGTTACACAAGTCACACGTGGCAGCGCTGGGCCATGGCCGATGTGCCAAAGCGAAGGTATGCCAACCCCAGGCCAGACCTGAGGCCAGTGCGTGGGCAAATGGAAGCGGTTTGGGAGCATTTCTTCACGCTATGGACCATCCGAGCTGGTGTGACATGCAGGAGCAAGTACGAGACTCGAACGGCGCTCCGGCTGGACGGCTGCCAGTTCATGTGGACGGGCGCCAGCATGCTGTCCATGGCGAGAAGCCACCAGTGGAACTACGAGGCATCAGATCGTACATCCCTGCCCAGGATGCAAGACTTCAGCAGGTGCCAAAAAGATTCCTGCATCTTTTGCAGCTTTTCAGCTGCGCAGGTGGTTCAGGATAACTTGAGCGATGTCCTCAAGTCAAGGACGCTGCAGGGCGCGGCAGAAGTACTGGTGGCCAAGTCGGAGGCGCCAAGCGCGTTGTTCCCAGGCTTCAGCACTTGGGGGCGGGTGAAGCAGCGCATTTTGCAGAAAGAGAACGTGGAGGAAGCCAAAGAGTGGCTGCGCGAACAGAACTTCTTCGTTTCAGCATATGCTGGACAACTTCCCCTGTGCGACCAGGCTGGATGCACACGCAACAAGCGAGATGTGCTGAAGGAGTTTCTGGCGAAGGGTCTGCAAAGTGTCGGCGCCCTGTGCGCCAAGGAGAAGCTAGCTTGAACACGGACACGTGTTCCACAGCGGCTTTCGAGCTATACAGCCGCGAGCTGCGCCTGGCCTGGCTGTCCTACCGGAGGGCGGGCACCCGATTGATCAAGCGCTATGGGGCAGAGAAACCGGAGGGTCTGGCGCTGGCGAAGCACCTGAGCGACATGTCCACAACGGATGCCTTTCAGTTTCAGTGCTGCGAGTCCATCAAAGCACTGCAAACGATCGAGCCTGCGCCGCCCGGGTTTCACTTCCCCCCGAACCCGTCCAAGAAGCGATCTGCCGCATGCATTGAGTGAAAGAGAGACCCGGGAAGAGGACTAAGCTGTTCTGGGCCAACATGGTGGGCACCTTTTAGGTGGCCTCAGCCCAGTTCTACTGGCAGGGTTGCGGTTTTCTGACACGGTTGGTGGGTGATGGTGTTCGTGGATGACTTCATGCTCCTGCTCCGGAAAAGGGGCAGGGCTACTCACGTCGGGCATCTTCCTGCTTTTCCTCTCCCTTGTGGGTTGCCCCATATCATGGCACAAGAATGAGCTGGGCCCCCAGAACCGGTGGCTCGGCTATCAGGTGGACATCAACAACAGGAGAAGCTGGACAAACTCGTTGGACAAGCTCGGAGAACTCCACAGGTGACATCTCTCCTAGACTTTCTGCAGTAGGTGGCAAAAGCCTTTCCCACCCTGTCGCCACACCTCCAACCTCTTTTTGCCTGGGAACAGAAACTGACCCGAAAGTGTAAGCCAGGTCAACTGGTGCGATTTCTTGCTAAGTTGGCCCTCTCCATGGTGTTAGGCCCGCCGGTCCCGCCCTTTCGCCATGGCATGGTCAACGGCTGCCACGGATGCAGCGACGTGGGGGAGTCCCCGGACAGGGCAGCCATTGGTGGATGGTTGGCTGACTCTCCTAACCCTGAAAAAGGGCAGGTGTGAGACGTCTCTGAATTGACCTGGTTGGCCCCCCCCGTCCGGTGAGACGAGTTGCACCCTGCGGCTGACAGGGTCAAGTGTTTGCGGACGGACAACGAAGGCAACACCTATGCGGCCTCCAAGAGATCGGCAAAGAAGTGGCCCTGCTCGGCTCTCTTGATGGAACACGATCCGTTTTCGCATCACTCCACCATGTCAAACGATGTTCAAATACGTGGGCGGACCAACTCACTCACTTGGACTTCACTGGGTTCTTGCAGCGACGGCTTCACCCCGTCCTGGCTGCTCCCTCCGGACCTCTTAAGCCTCCACATGCAGGACTTTGATTGGATTCTTTATGACTCTGAGACTACCATGATACTGCTTTTCCATTTAACGCGGATTACCTCGAGAGCGGGGTTTCATTTATACACGGCTTTACGCGGAACAGGGGGTATGAACATACCCTTTGTCCGGTGACTGACACAGCCATGAGGCTGTGTTCGCAGCTCTGCCCGCCCTCATTTTGGATTTTGCCACTCGCTCGGTCACGGGGGAAAAAGTGTGTTCCTGGGAGCGCCACAGTCTGCACCGTGACATAGGATCTAGAATTTTCCGGTTGGTGGGGTTTAGGTGTAGTGGAAGCCTTTTCCAAGACCTTCAGCGGTGCACTGTTTTCCTTTTTTGCCAGGGGTGTTCCCTTAAATCAGAAACAAACGAGTTCCCTTTGTCCGGCCGCTGGGAACTGGAAACAACTGGCGTATCCTTCGGGAGCGATGCTTCAGGAACGGCGACGGTATCCTGAGTCGTGCGGGGCGCTCAGGCGTTGGGCATTCGCGAGAGAAACTCCGGGGGTTCTTGCAGGGTTTCACTCAGCTCTGAGAAGCTTTCTGAGTACCCACCATTTTTTCCAGACCTCAAAACGCTGTTCTGTACAGTTGGATGAGTGAACGTGGGTGGCCCAAGTTTCCCATATTGGCTTCATCTACTTTCATCCTGACGCCAGTCTTCCAACCGGTCCTGGTGTACGTTCAAAGTGGTGTGTGGTCCACTTGTGGTGTGTCCCCTAAGTCTTCTCTACTTTCACCCTCCTGTGGATGGACGGAATCCTGCACCACTTTGAAACCATGGTTGAAACCAGAACGTTTCTGTTGGCATTTGCGTTGGGGAATCGTATCATAGACCACCAGGGTTTCTGAACGGTGGTGCGAAATGCGGATTTCGCGTCCATCCATCGTATCCCCAGCTCATCTTCGCCTCTCCCTGGGGTCATTATTTGGACTGTTTCTGGGGGTTATCAAAGTCATAAAATGGAGTCGGTTGTTTCCCTTCAACCGGGGGGTGACTTTGATGGTAAAATAATGAGGCCAGTCTCCCTGCGTGAAAAATGAATAATCCGCGCGCGGATGCTCCGAGGAGGAGCTGGCGGTGCTGCTGCGAAAGGGCCGAGAGGATCTGACGGACGCGGAGCTGGAGGTTCTGTGGACTCATCGGCCGGACTTAGCGCTTTCTCGGCTTTTGGATTGGTTCGATCAGATGAATGAATGAAATGCCCCTCATATCCCACAAGCCAGCCAACTGGCGGTGTTTCCTTAGAACCCCGAAACAGTTCATTCCCAACACCCGGAAGGTCATTCCGAGAAATTTCCTACTGAGCACTGAGCACCAGCAAGTTTTGATTGTTCAGAGCCTGGAGACTCCGTTGCACCCAAAGAGTGACAAACAGCAACTATTAGAGCCGATTGGAGGGCCTTGACGGGTAACTTTCCGTGGTTTCCCTTGCTATGGCTCTGAATCAGTTTTGGACGCCTGCCCTTTCGCCCCCCTTGTTTCACGGGTAGCGTCCCCATTGTTGCTAGGGATCAGCAAAATTGGGCAGTGCTGGAAAATAAACCATGGTTGAAGGAAGCGGAATCCACTCCTAGACTTTCCGGTTTCATTCATTTTCGCTAAGCAGCAAATCCTGACCTACTCGTGTCTAAGTCTGGCCATTTCATTCAATTTCCCTTTTTATGGCCTCGCTTCTTGCAGACCGCGGTCTAAGTCGGACTGTTGCAAGGAATGACATCAACCACGACGGCGACGGGGTGCGGCCCTTGGGAAGCCCACGTGTTTGGATGTGAAACAAGGGGGACCTTGTGTTTGCTTGTTTTGTTGGTTTCATACCCTTAAAATGCGTGAACACTTGGAGTAGGGGTTACTTTACTGGTCTACCTAAACATGCAGGTTTACTGGGGAAGGTTTTGCCAGATAATAGTAAGGGGGACGTTCCAGGTTATCCCATCTTAGAGAGGATCCTTCTGGGTCCATGAAAGCGACATCCTCCAACTGGTTGAGTGGACACCACAATCTTGCTGGGCTCAGTAGACTCAGTGACTCAGTAGAATATGTGGGAATGATCCCAGGGATTCCCTTAAAGGAAACCACCAGTTGGATTGTGTATGTCTCATTCCCTGCAGAGCGCCAGCAAGAAATGCAACCACGGGGACCCGGTCCTCCACAATTAAAGCCGCCCCAATCATCCGGCTTGAAATCGGGGTCAACATGAACTTGGGTCTCTGCTTTGGCCTTCAATATAGTCTAGTCTTTCGAGCAGATGGCAGAGAAATTGAACTTTGGACCTGGAACATTGGCAGGTTTTGGTAGAATAATGTTGCAAGCGCCGGAACCAGGGGACTCTGCCAGGCTGTAACGACCGGAAACTTCGAAGAATCGCGGTTGGATGTGCTAGGTTCACTTGCAATATCCAGGACATCCACCTTTGACCAGCAAAAAGTGTCCCCTTCCAACCTTTTGGAGAATCACAGTTTCCAATTTCCCGATTTCCCAAATGACAAAGTCGTTGGCAGTCTGTAAAGGCTATGAAATGAGGAGAGGCCACACGAAAAAAAAATCAATCAATTTGTCTGTGGCATTCCCATTCCAGGAGGGATGTAATTTCCCTTTTGTGCACCATCATAAGTCCTTCTGTTGAAACCAAGCAAATGGAAGTTGGGGACTCCCCCCACTCCGTCCTGGTTGGGTGGAGTGTATCACTCAAAACCGGCTCCGGCAGCGAGGGCATAGACTTCGATGAGTTTGTGGACTACCTCTTTGGCGTTTACTCGAAGGCGTGCTCCAGTGCTGTGCGGGAGAACTGGTTTTGGATTGGAGGGCACTTGACCGTCGTGGCCAAGTTGCATGGGCATGGGATTCCATGCCTATAACGGGACCCATTGTCCGGAACCATGATGGAAGACAGGATGTAGATCCGACTGCCGTGCGACCTGACAGAACCCTCTGTGACTTGTTGCACAAATAGTTGATTGTCATTGAGGACTTGGTGTTTGGGAGGCTACATGTGACAGATGATTTCAGACCTGGAGCGCAGGCCAGACTTTTGCAGACATTCACAGGACCCTTGTCCCTGACGAGCCGTCCAATCACTGGCCTTTACAGAAAGGCGAAGCAGGGCCAAAGAAAGCCCGAAAGCTTTCGAATAGTTCAACCGATAAGGGTATACCAACTTGCTAGAAGAAGAGGTCCGCTTTTTACGGGGGCTTAGCTTGAGCAAACCAGACAAAATAATCTTGGGAACCCCGTGGTGATGGCGTGCAAAGGCCAGAAGAAAGCCCTCGCGCAATGTGTTCAGGTTTCCTAACTTAGGAATGGAGATCTTGAACTTGTTCCAGGGGATTTCCCCGGGGGTTACCTTCATCAGGGACAACCGAGTTTGCACTTGCCCAGTTAAATTTGGCTTTTAACTTCTTCGCCCTCCATCTTTCCTCCCCTCATGGTTGCTGTTTGGTTTGGCCGCAAACAACAACCACCAACTTGCTTTATTGGCTTTACTTTGGTGGTGCATTTTGCTTGGATGTTAGGACTTTAACTTTTTGCCAACTAATGGGTTTTTCCATTAAACCACTAAAGGTTATTCACTTTTAGCAGGGGAGCAGAAAGCAACCGAGTATAGTCTGGAGAGCTAGTCATGCTCAGCCCTGCGCCCTGCCTTTTGAAGGTCGCCCTCCTGCGACCCTGCCTTTCTGAGAAGACCTCGAAAGAAGCTGGTCGTGCAAACTGATCGTTCTGGGGGCTTCTTCCTCCAAGAGATTAAACAAAAAAAGCAGTTTTGCGGGATCCCTCTGGTTTATCCTTGCAGGGTACCAGTTCAATCGGCACTGGTCACGCCGGGCAAATCTTGGTCATACTTGGGTTGTAAGCCACTTGTCGTCCCAGGTGAGTGAACAGTTATGAGACCCATGTGCAACACCGCCGGGCACCCACCAGTGTTGTCGAACATCCACGTACCCCCTACTCCAAATGCCAACTTGTGTTTAGGGGCATGATGTCCCCTGACTCGAACAGAAAGTTGCATACCACGGAAACCCAGTTCTTCAAAATATACCAACCAACAACAAATGGCAAACGTGGCGGGGGGTGTTCTGGCGATTCGAAGCGAGGACGGCGCTAAGATCGACTGGCGCGGCGCCGAGGACATGGCTCCATGACGTGACCACTGGGTCGCTGGAGTCGTTTGCGCTCTCAAAATGAAGTGGCGTGGTTTCGTTGGTTTTGTTTGGGGGTCCAAGCATTTTGGTTGGAACATCTGTTTTTGTTTTTGTTTGGTAATTTGTGCTGCGAAGTCCGACTCGAAACGGTGGGTTAAGCAGAGACCTGCCGAAGATGACCAAACAGTAGGCTGTAGGGTTTGGAAGGATCCGAAGGTTCGGATTCGTTGCCCCAAGCTATTCCGCACAGACGACCAAACCGCAAGGGAAAGGAATTCAGTTTTTAGCTTTGGCATCAACTTGACACCAACTTGTCCGATCGAGCAAATGGGAACAATTTTGGGTTGAGTCCTTTTCTATTCCGTTCAAACACCGGCTATTCCCCTGGATGTTTGCCGGTTTTCTGCACAGACAGATCCCTGGAAAAGAATCTCTGCCAGGGTTGAATGGGAGCAACCCTGTTTCAGGTGTGATTTTTTGTATGTGTAAGTCCCATTTGTTTTGCAAGCCACTGCCCTGCAGGAAAACAGTCGGTTTGAATAACCAGATGCTGGTACGCCTAAAACGTCAAACCATTAGGTTTTCATCAACGAAGCCTAATTGAATGCATGCTGTTATAAGAGCCTTGTGGTGTAATCCATTATTCAAGCAACTTAAACGACTGCCGACTCCAGATAAACAAAATGCTTCTTGAAGAACTAGGTATTCTCCTTTTTTGGTCAGTTGACATCATAGCCTACAAACATGTGTGTGTGTGTGGGTGCGTGCGTGCGTGCGTGGGTGGGTGCGTGCGTGCGTGCGTGCGTGGGTGGGTGGGTGGGTGGGTTGGTGGCTGGGTGGGTGGGTGGGTGGGTGGGTGGGTGTGGGTGGGTGGGTGGGTGGGTGGGTGGGTGGGTGGGTGGGTGGGTGGGTGGGTGGGTGGGTGGGTGGGTGGGTGGGTGGGTGGGTGGGTGGGTGTGTGTGTGTGTGTTTGAGCGTACGCTGTTCCACCTTGATTTAATTTAAGGGGACGTAGGAAAGGGAAAACCGACGAGCGCCAAAATGAGAGGCTGGCTCAGGGGCCCGTTACCGCGCTTCTGCTCCTGGCATCGCCGTCTGGACTCTGTGTCCTCGGGTCCGACTTTTTTCTCGTTCACTGAACCATTGGGCATAGCGTGGGTATGGAAAGCGCTTCTTTCCCCTGCAGGAGGTCTTCCACACCATCGCGTCCGCGGGGGGCAGGGCCTACATCACCTACCACGAGTTCCTGGCGCTGTGCCGCCCTTTGGCCCGGAAATTCCGCCTCGTGCTCGCGCTTTTTAGGGGTGCTTGAGTTTCCACAAGCTTTGCCCCAAAGCGATCCAGACCCAAGTATCCTTTGGGTTGCATCTTCAAGGAGAAAGGCTCCCCATTGGTGGCTCCCAAACTGGGCGGCGTTCGTCAGCCACCACTTAGCTTGTTTTGTTTCTTTCGCGTCATCAAATACACAAGCGCACAGTGACGTGGCACGCGGTCGTTTGAGGTCAGTTGGACATCCTGGACGAGACTGGCTTTGGCATTACTGAGGCGGAGGCTTTGCGCCTTGCCAAAATTTGCCGAATTGAAATGAGCGGCCCATCCACGGAAGTTAGGGTAAGTATCACCTGAGGGGAGGAGAGTTACTCGAAGTTTGCAACCAAAAAGGTGATGTTCAAATCATTCAGAAAAGGAGATAGGGAACTATGAGCGGAGCAAGCAGCTTGGAATTGGTTGGAGCTGCAACTGGTGTTTTGTCGTGTTTCGCTTCGGGAAAAACAAATGCTTTACTTCGAACGTTCCCCACCCAAGGCGCACAGCATTCTTTCTCGACAGTTGCACACACACTGGCCCGGCCACTGGCGGGAGCCTCAGGCTTCGGGCTGTCGTGGCTGTCCTGGCCCGGCCACTGGCGACTAAAGCATCTGGCACAACCTGAATAGCGGAGATTTTGAGTGGTCCTGGCTGCCATCCACATCCCGCCGTTGTGCCATCCGTGTCCAGGATGTGCATCACGACCTCGCGGGGGAGGGGGGGGGACCTCATCTGCCGATCATCTGGCGCGCGTCCAGCGGGATGCCGGGCTGTCCCAATCCTTGTAACGGTGATGCCGCCACAGGAGATGTGAAAGATTGCAAAAAACTCCGGAAGATGATCGAGAATCTCCTGGTGCGCAAGGCGATTCTGTGGTTTATCCAGGCAAGCTTCACCACGATGGAGGGCCTGGCCGGCCGCAAACCACCAGTCAACCTCGCTTGCTTGCAAGGCTCTACCACGTCCATATGGCCTGACCTTTTGTGAGAGGGGGCAACTGGTGGGGTGCTATATTATTCAGGGAATTGTTCTCCCGCTGGATTGGGATTTTTTCTAGTCCCCCGGGCAAGCAAGCAAGCAAGCAAGCAAGCAAGCAAGCAAGCAAGCAAGCAAGCAAGCAAGCAAGCAAGCAAGCAAGCAATGAAGCACCCAACCCCCCCCCCCCCCGGTATACCTGAACGTACCAAACGTGCCTTGAACCCTAAAAACACACGCCCTAAACACCCGATCCGAAGCCTCACTAAACACGCCTTTATCCTCAATTCAACCAACCCAACCAACCCAAACTCCATTTGAACCCACCCTAGACCAATCCTAAACCGACCCACCTAAAGCAACCGCGAACAGACCCCAGACCAGCCTTAAGTCGAATCTAAACCTACTCATAAACCCACTTACACATCCGCATGCCGCCCAAACCCCACAACTCTGAACCCCTAAGCCCACCCCCCCCCCGAACCTAACTTAAACCAACCCTGAACGGACCCCGAAGCCCACCCTAAACCAATCCCCCAACGCACCCTGAACCTGAACCCACCCCAAAACCAAATCCCGATTTTGCCACAAATAGGCAGGGTAGGTCTCACCTCTCAACCCGGGACCCTCAGTGGCGCTCGGGGGTTTTCAGCCAGCGTGGAGTGTGAGGTGGCACTCACACAGGTGTTGCAAGAGGACGAAGGCCCCCAAAAAAGGTGCCGGTGTTCCTTTAATTTCTCTAACCAAATTGAACATGGTTTTGGTATTTGGACCCAATATGATTTTCTTTTGGTTTCCCTTGTTATCACCCCAAGAAGGATATCCTCAATAAGAAACACGCCCATTTTGCCGCGCCAAAAACAACGGGCCTTTTTCTTGGCATCCTCTCTCGATCTTCTGTTTGTGCCCCGCCTTTTCGAGGTACCGACAGTGCAAGCTGCCGCGGCGGGGGCTCACCTTCGAGCGCTTCAAGGTGCTCCTCGGCTCCACCAAAGGTCCCTGAATGTCCCTTTTTCGGACCTGCAAAAAACACGGTTTTGGAATCGACCGCTGAGTTGCCAGTTTCAAGTGACCCATGGTCAACTTTACTTGGGTGGGCGTGTTTTGAGGGTATTGGTTCTTTTGGGGGTGGGTTTCCTTTGACCGGTTTTTCATTTCATTGTTTTAAGGTTTGACTAACGGGTTTGGTGCAGATGTGATTTCAGCAACCAGCCCCTCCACTTCACAAACCAACATCGATACCCTTTCGGGGTTCCGTCATTCCGCGAATCTCCTGGGATTGGCTCGGTTTTAGGCCTCGTTTAGAGGGTTCTATTTCCTGATTGGGTGTGGAGTATAGTAAAGCTGATATTCACATAGCAGCGGGCAGTAGGGGCGCTGTTCAACTGACCCTGTGATCACCTACTGCGCTGGCTTTCTATTTGGTAATAAGATGCAATAATGGGAAAGGTAGAAGCAGATACACGAAGGGACAATGTTGGAACTGTCATACACAATCAGGAAGCGAGAAGACAGCAGCAAAGAAACTCAATACAATTCTTGCACATGAACGCACACAACCACACACACATACACACAATCATCCTTCCCGCACCAACATTGACATGTGCTTCGCCAGAAGAATCACGGCCAGGGATCTTGGCCAAACATGTGCCGAAACGTCGTGGTCCCTGAAGGCCGCAAACGTGACGTATGCCCGTGGATGTACCCAAAATCGGGGACTGGGCAAAAAGTGAACCGCGGAGACACGCTGAGGCTGGTTAAGAAGGTGGCCACCACGCGCCTTGCCAGCATCGTGCCATCTGAATGACACCGATTTGGTGATACTACTTTAACGTTTCGAGTCCGTCTTGAACTGCTGGAAACGTCCTGGCCATTTTAAGCTGACTTTCCTTGGGACGGTGGCAGTGATCATGTATGGTTGAAACTGGGATCTCCCGCAACGTTTGCGTATGTTGCAGGGTAGACTTAATGTATAGACCACAATCTGAGCGCATTTGTTGTGTACCCCAGATTTGGGCCAAGAAAGCACCCCTGTACCACGGGGTTGTTTGGCTGTTAGAAGGGACGAAGGAACGGAGGCTCAAGAGAAGGCCGTAGTTCTTGGGTGGGCCATGAACTGCACAAGGCGACAGGGACCCCTGCCCAAAAGCTAAACTGACATTTTGCAGGAAACATAGTCAGGTCCGAAAATGTTACAGGGTAAAGATCCAACCCATTCTATGCCGGAAGGAAAATGCTAGCTCCAAAAAGGAAGAAGGCACCCGACACTCCTGAGTTTACTAGGCTTTGCATCTGACGCGGCTCCTGCCCGGCCTCCTTCCCGGCCTCCTTCCGAGCGAGGAAGAACGTGCCGTTGCGCACCGTGGTGAACTGGATCGCCTCCTTCACCCCGGGCCGCGCCAACGAGGACATCGTGGACAGCTGGGCGGCGTGCCACCAGGTGCCCGGGAGCCACTGAGGCGCGTCTAAGCGCCGGAGGTTTCGAAGGCGCGTGGGGTCCACACGTTTGTTTTGTGGTTCGAGTGAGGTAAAAGTGAAGATTGGTGAGATTGGCGAGATACCCGCTTGTCTCCTTTGAGGAAATGAGGTTTGAAAGCATTGCTGAGGTTCATGTCCGTCTCCCCTAAAATGGTACATACACCTCCTACACCCCTTATGTATACTGTGGGTTGGCAACCAGGGAAGCCACAAAGTATTGACAAGGGGTATCTACCGCCGGGTTTGAAGAAGTGGATCCAAACGGTGCGCGACAAACAACTTGGTGCAAAACCGGGGGACAAACGGTTTTGGGCAAACTCACATGCCAGGTTTGAGCCGAAATCAAAACCCGGGGAGAAGTGCAGGTAGGTGGAGGGCAACAGAAGGCTGCCACTGGAAGATTGAAATTAACCTGTACTCACTGTTGAAGTTCCTGTGTACTTAGGACGACAGGTGTAGTGGTCCACTTAAAGGGAAGCCATTCAGAGGGTTCGATCATTGGATCCCGAAGCTGCTGGTGACGCAAGGGGGGGGGGGGGAGATGCAACGTCCAAATCAAAGGTCTCACTTAGCGCCCAAGCCCCGAGTTGGTTGGTCTCTTGGCAGAAATCCCAAAGGTAGTTTGTTTTCCAACTATCTTGGGAGACCACATCCTCTGAGCCACAAGTGGGCTTGAGCGCTGCTCAAAGACCCGCCCCGCAAATGGGGGCGCGGGTCCAAGCAATTTATCGGCGATGGCAAGCATCAGCGGCGGGTTGGTTCAATCCGGGCCACGGAGGAGGCCCCAGCATGGATGGTTTTCCCCAAACAGTCAAGAATCCCTTGGCATCCTCTTTCTTGAGAGCCCTTTCGATCCGTTGAATGGCTCTGGGGACCAGGTTTTGGCTTGACTCATTTGGAGTTGGATGTCATTGTCGGGGAGGCAGTTGCTGAAAACAGGCATGCCAGCAAACTGAATTGTCAAAGCAGCTGTGCTGCAGTGATTTCGCATTGAGAACATGAGTGAACCTTTTTGGAACCCGACCCCCGGGACGATTAAAGCGTTTCCGGTAAAGGGATGCAGCCGAATACAGTGCTTGTTAACCCTCAGCTTGAAGCAACCCCAAGCGAGAGCTTGCTGCTATGCCACACGTCTGGCACCAAGCTAGGAGCCAATGCACGTGCTCCCATTCCAAGAAAAGGTGAGTGAGCTTGGTTTGCCACCCAAAAGACCCAAATCGCGCTTGCTTTTGGCCAAGAGGAGGTGTGCTACTTCATGGGGCGAATGACAGACTCTCAACACCCACTTGCCCAGTGTGACCCTTGCTGGCTTGTCTAAGGTTCTTTCATAGCCAAAGAACGGAGTTTGCTTTTTCTGCCTTTTTGCCAGCTGTTGCTGGAGAAGGTGTGAATCCTTTGGGGCGTTTGTCGAGAAGCCAAAACCCGAAAGTGGCTTCTCAACGTCTGCCGAATGCCTCACAGGCCACCGAACATCACCAAACACCCCTGGCCGGCGGCGATTGTTGGATCCCAGAATGGTGGCTTTCCTGTTAGTGTCTTTCTGAACCAAGGGCCTTTTTAGTTCTGATCATAGATGCGACCCATCCCCCCAGAGACCCATGATGAAGGAGTGTGGCTCATTTTGTGGCCCAGTCTTAGGTGTCGGACACTTGGGTCACTTGGGGGGGGGGGGTGGCCCGGTCGCAAATCTCGGACACTTGGGTCACTTGGGTCACTTGGGTCGCTTGACCACACGGCCAAGATAACCATCATGATGAACATGATGAACATGATGATAACATCACTTGATGCTCCAAACTGATGTTCGCGGCAGCTCGTTTGCAGCAAACGCTGCGCGAAAGCTACTTGTGCGTGGAAGGTTGCAAAATTTGATATGAACTAGAAAGGAATCAAAAGCACCGTTCATTTGCACGAACATTTTGGCTTCAGTCCGTAGAATTTCCGTTGCACGCCGAATTCAACTTGAGCAGCGCCAAAGCCCCGCCGTGAGAGGATGCGATGCCTTCATTTGGCTTCATTGAAACAGGTCTATGTCTCCGAAGCAAATCTGGTCCCACTCAGAGGAGCGCTGGTTTCTACACCGAGTCTGACAAACGGGTTCCAGCTGCCCCTGATAGGTGCCCCTTGAATAAACCTCAGAGGTTCGAGTACATAATGGATGCATAGTCACATTTACCACAGCAGATCGAGGGAACCCCCCCAAGGAACGCCGTTGGGCCCAGTTCACCAAGAGATGTGTCGTGGGTTTTGGCCACCGCTCGTGGGTTTTTCCTGCACCGCGCTGAGCCCGGTGCCGGAAGGCGGTAGGTGTGATGTCGCATGTGTGGACTCCGGCAAACTGCAGCTGAGTCGCAAAGGAATCTACCGGATCCGTGGGAAGTCATGCTTACTGCGTATGAGTCCAGAGGGCATTTCTAATCATGAGTGGAGATGTGATTGGTGGGGAACAGCCCTGACTAGCATGGTTCTCCGGATTAATCCAAAGCTGACAGTGAGGGGGTTTTGGCCAAGGGAATGCAACAGCCTCCTTTTGGCTTAGCTTGAGAAGAGCTTGGTCGAACAGCATTTTGCTCCACCCTGCCTTTGAGTGGGTGGGTCAAGATTGTCGACCCCGGAAGGAGTTTCTGGACTTTTGGTATATTGAAGCGACAAACTAGACAGATGGTGTGAGATTGAGATGGGTGTGGGTCAAAATTGAACCACCAGGGGACCGCAGGCTTTAGTCCATGCTTCCATTTACCAAGGTTCCATCTTGAATACCTGTTTTGACCCACAGCCAGATGGTTTCTCGGCCCCTTTCTTACCCAGGAACCTCCCCCAGGTGAAGAACTACGTAGTTCTTGGACAAACATTTCCAATGGCATCGCGGCCACCAATCCAAACCACCATTAGGGGGTACCTGCTTGACTTTCAATTGGAAAAAACACACGGAATTATGTTTGCTGTTTGCTGAGTAATTGTGACCAAGGTTAATGTGTGCTGTGAGTCCTTTCGTGTCCTGTTATTTTCGAGGCCTCTCAGCAGCTGGTTGACTGGTTGTTCAAACCCAACCCAGTGCTGGATGGTAGGGCAGTTAGGGGTTTCCTTGTTCTTGCGGTGCCCCACGAGGGCTATCGAATTTCCCAGGTTGGTTTTCTTTGTCACGCCCTTTTACAAAGTACAGCAAGTACAAGAGCACTCAAGTATTCTTGGGGTAGAAGGGTAGTCAGTGATCTCTCCAACAACTCAGCTTAAATTTTCCCGCCAATCCAGGTTGAACTTTCCTGCCACGTTGCTTCAGCCCATCCTTTTTCATGTCCAGTCCTTTGGGTTAGATTTTGTTTTTCCGAGGCATTGCCGCCATGCAGCGTGAAGGCGGACGAGGGCGCTGGCAGAGGGTATTGAGCCTTCTGCACGAGTTGCCGCAGGCCCGTGGCCGGGGCCAAAAGTTTCCGGTCCGTATTATTTATTGTTGTTATTATTATATTTATTATAATTATAATAATTAGTATTATTGTTGTTATTATTATTTTGTATTTACTAATCTATTTATTTATCCATTTATTGGTTTATTGGTTTATTTATTTATTTATTTATTTATTTATTATTGTTGCTCATTACTCCCCACCTGTCCTTGCCGAAATGGCCATACACAAATCAGTATATCCGCATTTTGGGGTCAATGGGTCAATCACCACTCCTCCTTGGGCCCTTCGTCCTTCTTCTTCCAAAAGGAACCCCCCCCCCCCACCCACACCATCTTAGAACCAATCAGCCAGACCCTGGCATACACAAACGTCACTTCCAACCAAACCTAAGGCTTAGTGCGCACCAAGGGTCAACAACAAACGTACCAAGGATGATTAAAAATAATGGACCCTACACCAGACCCCAAGCACGTAGTCTTAGTTAGCGCTGTTTGACCCTAATTCACGTCATTGGCCTGGGCGTTAAACAAACAGGTGTCCGCAATGTGCACGATTTGATCAGTCAGTGTCACCCTTTGTCAACCCCCCCCACTGACCCACCTATGCGACACCCGGAATTCGTCTTCCAGGAAGTGTACTTTGTAGTTGTTCTTGTTTTGCGATTGCTGCCCATCGCTGCTCCCCCACATCCAAGACTGGGGTCTGAGGAACACCTGATGGTCCGAAAGCCAAATCGTTACACCCCTGCTAATTGTCCGCCCGCAGCTTGCAAGTGCCTGCTTTTTGGCGAGCTCACCTGAAAGTAAGGCGAGCTCACAATGTTTTAGCTTTGTTTGGGATCCAATTCTTGTTTCAGGTTCTGGAATTTTAGATCAACTTGATTTGCAGGCGCACCGCCATACCTTGTTGTCCATCTACCTTCAAACCACTACTTCAATTTTCTTCACCCACCGAAACCTTTTACCTGGTCAGCAGCTCAGCAACCCTGAGCTTCCCGGGTTCCACCCGCTTTGCGTACACTGAGGAGGTCTGATTCGCGGGGTTTTCAAACCCCAAACCACACCTGAGCCACAATCAAAACCCGGGTAGATGAAGGCTGGTAAGGGACAATCTCAACCATAAATAGCTGCGGCCGCCTTCTTAATGCTTTACATGGTTCTGGGTAGACCATTCTAGTACCGGGTCTTGATTATGACTCACCTTGTCTTCATCCAAGTCGTCCCATCCCGGCGCGAAACGCGACTCGAGGACATGGCGCCGGTGGTGGCGTACAGCGTGGCGGTCACGGCTTGCGGCAGGCGGGAGGGGTACGGATGAAAGCGACCTCCCATGCCCATGCTGTCCTTTTGAAGGGTTCCCCTTTGAACATGGCGAAATTTGCCCATGCTGTGTTGTTTGGAAGGGGGAAGGGTTTCCCTATAGAAATCGACAATTGCTCATGATGTCTTTTTTAAAGGGCTGCCCCCTGGAGAAAATCGACGGGAAAAAGGCGAGTGCCCTTTTTTCACAGGTGGTATGGGAAAGCTTCACTCCCCGAGTTTCTGGACTTTGGTCGCTTTGGACCGGCTTTGTGGTCAACATTTGGAACCTTGTTGTTGGCCAATCCACCAGGAAATGAACAACACAAGGCAAGGGTATGAAGATTCGGTATGTTTTGCCACTTTCGGAATGCTTCGGCAGAACATCAAACCACAAAGCGTTGCGGAGATTGAACAGGGGCCGCTCTGAGCCATTCCGGGGAAAGTTGCACTTGCCCAGCTTTCGTGGACTCAACCAAGGAGCACTGACACCTCTTGCTGGCGTAGGCATGGAAGCAGACACATGCCGCACTATTGCTATGGCTCAGTGGTTCTCATTGCTGCACCTTTTGGAAGAGGGCTATGATCGAGCGAGGCCCTGGCACGAACCAAGATCAGCTGGTCAAATGACCTCACTGGCTGGCGCGAGTTTCATGGCCTCTTTGGATGCTTTCTCAGTGCAAAGTGATTGCACTGTCCAACAGTTCAACGACCTACCCCCTGGAGGGTCCTCGGAGCCCGTCGATCAGAAGCAAGACAACAATCACTCCTTGGCTTTTGGCTTGGCTTCCTGGGGGTGGAGAAGCATATGCGTCGGCTCAACAGTGAAGGATTCCTCTTGGAATGTGAAGCAGTGAACCCCCTTTGTGGATTGGTTTTCAATGGAAACAAGAAGACCCATAATATCTAAATCCCCAACTTAGAACCCACACCAAACTGGTCCACCGAAAGTGTCAGAAGTCATAGTCCCGGTAGGTGCTTGCAGTGGCAGCGGTCCCTTCACTTGCTGCGGCAGCTGGAGGACCAAACCGTCTTGGAACATCCTGCAGCATGGGTCGAGGGCCAATCCGCAGGTTTTGGCCGGGTTAGGCCACCATGCCTTGGCGTAGCTTCCACGTTTTTTCTTCTTCTTCTTTTTTCTCCCCCTGTTTTAGGGCATCAAGCTGTTCTTGTTTCCAGTCGTTACATGTAGGGCGTAAAATGATAAGAATGGGTTGAAGGGCTTTAAAACCAAAATCAATTGATGATCCTCATCAGGGAATGCGTGTGATGTGTTAGCCCGTAAGAGTTTTTTGCTTCTGTCTTTGCGTGCGCCCGCCCTTTTGTAAAGGGCAACATGTGGAAGCCGATTTCCTCCCAGGATACTTCCTTTGCCTGTGCTTTATACCTTGTGGGAACACCACTTGAGTGGCATTTTCACTCAAGGGCATGAACAACCGACAATGAGGGAAGTGTCCCATTTACTGTAACCCTGGTGTACTTCCCTTTGTTTGGTAGATGAAGAGTACGCCTTTTTTTAGCAAGCCATTTTGTTGGATGCTATCTACGGCTATTGACGAGCCTGTCGCCTTTTTCGGCCTGGAGGCGTTCCCCAGCCGCAGCAACTGGCTCGCAGGAGCTGGAAGGAGTGGCGCCCAACTTGGTGGCCTTTGCGTCGGCGATGCACGTAGCGCCTCGCTCGCGAGGATTGTTCTGCGGGCGCCACCTTGGACCCAGATGGCTATGGGTCAAAATAGGTACCCAAAATGGAACCCTGATAAATGGACCAAAGACTAAGACCTGCGGTCCCCAGGTGGGTTTATTTTGACTCATACCCAGATGTTTGCATGAGTCGATTCCCTTTATCGGTGGCATGGCGCAGTCAAGCATTCGTGCATTCGTACAAAGTGTTCAGTCGGGAATCCAACAGAAACCGGCCTTCCCCACTTTGTGTGAGCCAAGGGGCAGTAGGGTCGCACTTTTGGTTGCGGGAAGCTGTGCAAAACAGTGTTGAATGGTGGTTTCCAGTCTGGTTGCACAAATAGTGGAAATCCATGGTTGCCAACCTGGAAATGTCGTTTAGGGCCACTTCTTCTGAGCCAAGAACAGATCCCCTTGATGAAATTGTCATATCGTTACACTTTGTCAAGCAAAATCCAAAAAACAATGCTCGGCAGCTAGTCGATTCTTTCAATTAAAGGGTTAATGATCAACTCCAATCAAGCCTAAACGGTGGGTGCATGATTTGTGCAGCACCATCTAGTGTTCTCCCCTCGTCATCTCTCTCCCAAAATGCATGTCTTTTCTAGTTCCCTTCCCTGTAACCGGCTTCGAAGCGAAGCGCTGAGAGACGACGACAACCCCACAGGCCAAAACAAGCCCAGGATTTGCCAGAAATTTGGCAAAACAAACTTTGGACAAACTTTTGCAGATCGCGCCAAACAAACTTTGGACCTCCAGCGCCTTGCCACGCTTCGCGCTCTTGGCGCGCCTTCCCGCGCCTCGGCCACAGAGCCGCGCCGACCCGCCCGAGGTGATGCGCGCGGGGCAGTGGCGCGCAGCCCTGCAGCTTTGGCCGCTGCTCAGGAGTGCCACAACGATCGGGGCGCGTGGTGAGTTCCTTCGAACTTTGAACCATTTTGAACCACTGGGTCTTTATGTGGGTGTGGCTCAAAATTAAACGATCGGAGGGGCACACCGCCGATCTTTTGAGCCACAGCCATGTGAGAACCCTGAAAGAAGCACATTTTAACTTTTGGAAAATGACAACGTTTGCACATTAGTTGGAAAAACATTAGACCCTGGTTGCTTAGCGGGGTCGCAGCCCCCGCTGTTAATTCGCCATGCCTGTCAATCCGGGATCATCTACCAATTCGCAAGAATGGGCATTTGTTTCCAGAGTCTCAGTTCACGCAAGGCACGGGTCCAAACCGACCAAACAGAGCCTGGCCCCAGGCTGTGGGCGATGGGCCCTGTGGGCACCTCGGCTCCCAGTCAAAACACTGTTGCTTGTAGGGAACCACGGTCCGGGGTAAAAAATGCCAGCCTCTGGTCCATTGGCGCTTGGGGGAAATCACGAAAATTCTCATAACAACCAGGGGCTGTGCCCGTGTTTGTTGTTTCTCCATGTCCTCTTGGTGAAACAAGTCATGTTGACGGCAGAGATCCAATTCCGGACACCCCAACTCCTGCACTCCTGTTTTGCTATGTCCGGGTTCCCTAAGCATCAATTGGTCCAAACGGTGCAAAAGTGTTGATTCAACTGGCTGGAAAGCGACATGTATACATATATACATATATAATATATATATATATATATGTGTATACCCTCACGTCCCGAGTTGCTGGACTTTCTACTTTTTGGGAGGACCATTTTAGCGATCCAACAGCTTGGATCTGAGGGATACACACTGGGATTCCACCCTTGCGAAATGACCCAGAATGGTTCAAAACAACACGGTTTTATCCGGAATGTGCCTAAATGGGGTCAATACCCGGTGGGTGTATTCCCAGGGTGTAACACAAAACCCTTAGATTGGACCTTTTTGGCCAGTCCACTCAGGAGGTGTTGGGAACCCTGACGCAGGAGTGATGGACTGCAGCCGGACGCCACAGCGAGGGCGGCCGCAGCCCAGGCGCAGCTCTTCATGGGGTGGGTAGGGTGGGGGAGGTGTTCTCAATATATGGTGTTTTATAAACAATTATGAGTTTTCATAATATGTATATATATATATTGTTTATAATATATTATATATATATACATACACAAAGTACCCATATGTGCGTGTATATATATATTATATATATATATACACTATACACATTGATACAGAGAGAGAGAGAGAGGAAGTTGTGTATATGTATATATATATATCTATATATACATGTATGGTCGCCTCCGCCCCCCAGCATCCACCTTTCTACTTGTTTTGCGCAACATACATTTATTTGCAGATGTTCAGCGTCCACTTGGTTTGCAGATGCCTTAACACTGTAATTTACAGTGGTTTCCGAGACTTCTTATATTGTGCCAGATGTTCTTTGTGTGCTTGATGCAAGAAAAGACTCAACAAAGAAAACACACATGACATGGACAGTATTTTCAGATGCAACTTTGCCAGTCTTAAAAACACACTGTTATTTGCAGTGTGGTTTAAAAGGAACCTGCAAACAACATGCCTGTGTTATTTGTGTGTTTTTGATGGTTGCGCCCTCGAAACGTGCACAGCTCAAACAACTGCAACACATGCAACTCCCAGATGCAATGTCACAGGTCAGGGCTTGACCGGTCTAGAGTTTTGCAGTTTTTGAGCCTGTGCAGGTTTTGGAGCTTTGGGTTCTTAAAACATGCACAGGCTCAAACAGACGCAAAACAAATCCAAAGCCTTTACTTGTTTCTGAAGACTGGGCGACAGATTAATGCCGAGCATTTTCATAGAAGCCTCGCGCTGCAAAACGTTCAGCTTCTGACATCATACCTACTTAAGGAAACGAGACACATTGCATGACCTTGTTTGAGCTTCTTGCAGCAGAGCAATCTTTTAAAGGAGCTGTGCATGAAGAATAGGTCAGTGACATCAAAGCGACACACATATATATATATATATACACATATACATATATACATATATACATACATACATATGTGCCAACCCCCTGTTTTTGAAACTATTTGTTTTCACAAACTATACAAGTGAAACTGTGGGCCCTGGGGGGTCCAAAAAGAGGCAAAGCGAGGGAATCCTACACTTGCCGCCTGTGTTTCGGACGCGTGTTCTTTCTTTTTCTGGGGGGAGTGTTTGGAGAAAAAACAACTAAAGGGAACCTCGCCCATGCTGGAGGGGGCTTCCCCGAAATATGTGATAACATCTATATATATATAATGCTCACCCCCTTCAAGCATGGCGTTGAGATTCCAGAGGAACCCGGTCGCGACAAACGCGGAGGGATGAACTTGAAGGGATGAACTTGGAGGGATGAACTTCCAGTGCACTTTGTAATGGGCAGCGTGTTGCTGTGGACTCCCAATGAAACCAGCAGACAAGGCATCGTTGGGGTCCTTGAACCTAGTTTTTGATGGCTTTAGCCAGAATAAAAACACTACTGAAATCTTGTGGAGCAATGTGTATTGGGCAACAGGGCAGCCCTGGTTCAGACATGCAACAACAGCAGGTTGTGCCGTTTTAAGGAATGGTTTTCAACAGTAGCAGGAAGCTTGGACCATGTCGCCACCTGGCAGACCTGGACCTAGATCTCGGTTCACGCGGCCTTAGGCGGCGGCTGGTGGTGGGGGTGTCTGGCGACGCGCCTGGCGGCTGCTGCCCGAAACGGGAAGCGCGCCAGCGTCGGCGGCACAGGAGGCGAGGCGAGTGGGGCGGAGACGGGGAGGCTCGGAGGGGGATTTAGACTCCCAGTGGTGCCCTTTTCCTTCCTGTACAATCAACTTGTCAACTACCAAAGCAAGGGGGCCCTTTTTTCTCAGGGCCACGGGGCGCCTGGGGTGGCTTAGACCCACGGTTTATCCTTATGAAGCTGAACATCAATAGGCCCCTGGTTGAAGCACAAGGGCCAAAGCCAATACTCAGCATGTGTCCCGTCTCAATATCGACGGTTGCTCAAATCGACCCTACATCCTTGGTTTGTTTGTTTTGCATGTCTACGATGCGTTTGACTCCGTCGATGGATGTTGGCATATCTGTCTCGCAATCAGCCCGCCCGTGTGCTAGGCAACCGGGGGAAGCCGGCCGAAGTTGAACCAAAGGTCAAAAACGAGCTGGAGATCTGGTTGGGCACCTAAGAGAAGGCGTCCAAAATCGAGTTTGTTCCGGCTTTAGGTATCATCTTCATCCTTGCGGACATGTGTTCATATATATATATATATATATCTATTATACATTTATATATGCAGATATACATAGTGATCATGCATATGCACACATACTGTATCCATATTACTATATCTCTTATAGACCTGTTACATACCCCTTAGGAGAATGCGTCCTGGCAGGCTTGTTGATACCCCCAAAGTGACAAGGTGGACAACCAGGAACCAAAGGCGTATGAACAAGGTCTCATTGCTCCCAGCATCCTTTCACCTGATTAGTTTTCTGAACTTCAAGCTTTTGGGAGGGATCAGTTTAGAAAAAACAAGCTGGACTTCTGACCAATCCACACCGGTGAGTCCCCCAAAAACCCGCCCCCTTTTGATTTCTTTGCGAGCTTCCGGTTGAAAAGCATGGAGGAATTACCCAGCTGGTTCCTTCGCCAAAAAGGTGAGTCCCCGGTTTTTTGACCCTTTTGATCCACCCAGCTGATTCCTTGAAAGAAAATCGGGAACACACTCAAACATTTTTTACCCTCCCACAGACTAACATGCAATGTCCTCGGGGACCTCTTAAGACTTGGTTCCATCTCTAGAGGCCTTCTGGAGCTTCCGGCTGTTGAGGGAGTGTACCCCCCCCCACTTCGCTTGCGTTCCCGGACCGTCTGGAGGTGTGCTGGAACGTGGCGATGAGCGCCTGCGAGAAAGCCGGTGCCTGGCGCCAAGCCCAGCGCTTGGCGGAGATCTGCGGCGCGCGGCGGGTCGAGATGGACACCTTCACGCTGAATGCGGCGGCGGGGCTGGGGCCAAGAGCCTTTCTAATCAGTGGAGATGTGATTGATTTGGTTGGGAGCAGCCCTGACTAGCATTGTTCTCCGGAGATTAATCCAGAGCTAACACTAGGGGTGTTGTGGCCAAGGGCATTCAACCGCCTCCTTTTGTTTTAGCTTGAGGGCTCGGTCGAACAACATTTTGGCATTTTGCTCCACCCTGGGTGGGTCAAACTGAGACTTGGCGAAACTGAACCTTTTGGGCATTTTCCCTGTTGCCTGTTTTTGGGCGATAGAACGTGTAGGCTGAAGGGTCCAGTCTGACCCGCTAACAACTGGAGGGGACCCAAGTTGGACCGAGGGCGAGCCCGACAAAAGTTGCTGCACTTGCTCCACAATTTGACGACAACATGTGGTTCAATTAGACAAACCGCGGCGACAGGTTCCCAAACTCGGCATGGGCTGTTGACAGTTTGGAAATATGCCGAGGGCCTCAAGTCGGATCGGGTTGGCTGTGTTGAAAGATGCGTTCACCAGTTCTGACCTGTTGTGCTTGATGAAGCATCCAGGGACGCCTGCACTTGGGGGCACTGTTGCTTCCAACGACGACTTGGAACAGTGTAGGGTGTTGGCAGCCAGGGCATCGGAAGAACTGCGTGGGCAAAAGGACAACTTTGTTGTCCAGCAGAGTCCAACCGGTTTCTCTTTTTTTTGGCTAAGCTGTGCTTGAAGCTTGCTTTTTCTTGGTTCAATCGGTGTCCAAAGGCTAAACTTAGCTTGAACCAAAGAACCGTTTAGCCTTTGGACACGTCCCACTCAGCAACACCGATCTGACGGACTGGAACCGTCGTTCCCGGACTTAGCTCACCTTCCGCGATTTCGCCCTGCAGCAAGTTAACTTGCTAGGGTCTAGTTCTGGCCAAAACGCAACATGCTTGCATATGTATATATATATAATGTATATAATGTATATAATGTATATAATGTATATAATGTATATAATGTATTCCCCTGAAAGGGTGGTTTAGGAACATCACATACTCATTCCGATTCATAGCGGGAGCCATTGCAACCAAGCCGAATGTTGTGTCAGGTGAGCGCGGGGGAGAAGGCGAGTGCTTGGCGCCAGGCGGTGTTCTTTCTAGAGGACCTGCGCGGAAAAGCGACGGAGGCAGATGTGATCAGCCGCTCAACACTCTGAGGGGCCAGAGCTTTCAGTTTTGCGCGCAGTTGTGTAGCCCAGAGGTTCTCCTTTCGAAGTCACCCTGGGTTCAAGTTTGCCTTCTCGGAACATGGGCCCTCGGTACAAATTTTGGCCAAAGCCAGAGCCCTTCCATCAGAGCTCCACTTTGACAAGGTTCCTTGCGAACCATTCCAAGGGGGGTGGTTTTGGGGGCCTTTGGTTTCCTTCCACGTATTTCCCTGGGTGGTTGAAATATCAGTTTTTTTTTTTTTTTTTTTTTTTTTTTTTTTTTTTTTTTTTTTTTTTTTTTCGGGTGATGTCTAAGGAGAATTCAGCCCCTCTTGCACTAAGATGGATCCTATGTTAGGTGCCTCCTCCGAATGGTGAGCAAACCACCCTCCAAAAGGCCACCCGCATCGGCCAACAAGCTACGAATCCCAAATATGCCCAACTCAGCCGCAAACAAGCGCAAACAAGCCCAAACAATCCAAACAAACCCTCCAGATATGTCCACATGTCGGAAGTGGTCAATAGGCAGAAGCCAAAACAGTTCGTAGCATATCATGCTATCCGCTGGGCGTTGCCCAACCACAAGAACACCCACTACTTAACCATCAATCCAGGCCATCTTACTATGATACCCCTTTTTGAGGTTGGTTAAAAGGAAGCCAGAGAAAACCGATTGGGTACCATTATTTTGTGACAAACCTATTTACCATACTTGGGTCACAAAAGAAGGTGAGCAAGGGACAATCCCGATAGGTGGGGCTGCCCTTTCGATTCTCAGCATGCTTCTGCCGGGTTTTGATCGTGACTTACTCGTAGGTTGGCATGCCAGGAAGGCACCTTTTTAGGGTTATCCTATTTGGGAGACCAAAGTGAAGTCAGACATTTTGGAGTTGGAAGGGGTCAAAAACAAACAGGGTCCCTAATGTGGCCATTGGCTTACATACCTGTTTGGAGTGAGAGAGGAAGGGAAGTCAGAAATCAGGGTTTGGGTGGGTCAATATTTTGGCCATTGTCCCAGGCCAGAACTTGCCGCGTCGCTTGAGGCTTCAGCGCTGCGATCAGCGCCTGTGGTGAGTGCGCCCAGTGGATCGCGGCGCTGGCGCTGCTCTGTGCCTTCGGAAGCCGCGAGGCGAGGGTCCGAGGGTCATAACCTACTGATGGTTGCGAAATCCATTTCGCACCTAAGAAACCCCGGTTTTGGATTCGATTCCCCTGGAAATACCAAGAAACAATGGTTTCAAGCGTGGATTCCAGGTGGTGCAGGATTCTGCCCATCCACAGTATGGCTCCATTCTGGGCGGATGAACACCCATGTAAAACCTATTCTGATGTTCACCAGGGGTACAGGGTCTTGACCCACAGCCACATATGGTTGAGACCAGAACGTGTTGTTGGTATTTGCAGGGAAATCGAATCATTCCAGGGTTTCTTGGGTGGTGCCGCGTTTCGTCCATGAACAGTACGGGCAGTTGAGTAGATCTTAGATGGGTGTGTCTTTGAGGCAGGTGAGTTTAAGGGAAACCAAATGGAAAGCCACAATTTTGCTGAGTCCCGCCCAATTTGTCGCACACCCATTTACTTGAAGCCCCTCTTTTTCTTCCTCTTATTGAATGGTTGCTGCTTGGGCCTCTGAAAGATGACAAACTCCAAGGGCAGAACATTGGAGAAGGGTTTCCTTTTGGTTTTCAGGTTGAGTTTCCTTCCATTTATCTACCATTCACCTGGGTCTCCAGAAGCCTTGTTCAAATTGCCTTTTGGGGGGTGTTGTGCTAGAGGGTCATCTCGAGGATGTCGCTTGAATGACTGCAGTTCAGTTCACCTGAGGGCAATGGTGCAACTCTTTGACACACCATACACACCCTGGGAAGCGGCCGGGAATCCCTTTAAATCAAAGTCAAGTCGTGAGCCACTTTGGCACCGCAGAACGTTCCTACTTCCCACCATGAATGGGAGAGGTCGGGCCAAACAGCCAATTGCCATGAGCAAAAGCCTGTCAAAGGCCAATTGCCTGGACAAGCACGATTAAGCCACTTTTCGGCAATAAACTAGGTGTTTGTACCAGGGGTTCGCATATACGTGTATAATATATATATATATATATATCAATTATGAATGGATTCATCTTATGCTTTTAACCTGGCCGTGGAGAGGAGACCCCAGCGGGAAGGTGGTCGTTTTTGAACGCGTGTTTTGGCTCGTTTTTGAACGCGTGTTTTGGCTCGTTTTTGAACGCGGTTTTGCTCAAGTGTATGTGATTTACAGCAGCACGGCCATTTTCCAAGTGTCCATGCACACCACGATGAGGCGCGCGAACACGCACCACGATGCACGTGTAGCACATGGATGGCGCCGTGCTTTTGGGAGACAATCGTCAACTGTAGACCCGGGAACACAAAGCACAAGGAACGCAAAGCGACATCATCATCATCATCATCATCATCATCATCATCACCATCATCATCGTCGTCAACATCATCATCATCATCATCATCATCATCATCACCCTCATCCTTGCCATCATCATCAACATCGTCATCATCACTACCAACAACATCACCATCATCAACATCAACACCAACATCATCATCACCATCATCAACATCACCACCAACATCTATATCATCATCATCAACAACACCGTCAACATCACCATCATCACCATCATCATCATCATCACCATCATCATCACCATTATCATCATCATCATCATCAACATCACCATCGTCAAAATTTTCATCAACATCGTCAACATGAACATCATCACCATCATCATCATCATCATCAACATCACCATCGTCAAAATTATCATCAACATCACCATCATCATCGACATCATTAAAGTCATCGCCATCGACATCCTTATCGGCAACATCAATATCATCATCATTAACATCATCACCATCATCACCGCCATCATCATCATCATCATCATCATCAACATGGTCAACATAATCATCATCATCATCATCATCATCATCATCATCATGACCATCATCATCAACATCGTCATCATCGCTACCAACAACACCGCCATCACCACCAGCGCGCAGTCGCACGGTCACGCAGTAAGAGGCGCACGTAACTGCCCCACCCCGTCACGCAGCAAGAAGCGAACGTAACTGCCCCACCCCACCCCCCCCCCCCCCCAGCCCCAATACGCAGTTGCGCCGCCACGCAGTAAGCGGCGATCGCAATTCCAGGAGGCTCCGATTTGCAAGTTACTTAGGCCGTATGAGCTAAGGAGGTTTTTTGTGTCGCGAGGACAAGATAACTCAGAGCTTGAAATTTCACGAGTTTGCACGGCTTTTTCACGGAGTAGTAGCGGCCTTTCAGCGAGCGCAAGTCGCCGAGGACATCTTAGCTCAAAAAGCCAAGGTAACTTGGGACTCGGAGCCTCCTGGTTGCCCCCTTCCCGCAGCCCCAGGGCGCAGTTGCACGGGCACGCAGTAAGAGGCGAACGCAACTGCCCCACCCCACCCCCCCCCCCCACCCCACGGGTGCCGCAGGATAGCCCCCCCATGTGTTCGAAAATGACCCACTCTGTGTTCGAAAATGATCCAGGACATCGGTGTTCGAAAATGATTTAAAATCGGTGTTCGAAAATGATCCCCCTCCCGTTCTGAGAGGAGACCCCAGCCGTGTCGTTAGCCCAAGTCTCAAGGAACCGCTCAGGGTTCGAAGGGAGGAGGTTGCGCGCTCAAGAAGTCCTTAGATTCTGGAAATGTAGGGCACATAGGGACCTTCAAGGGGGGCTATGGGGAGGGGGGCTATCCCTATGAAGCCCTTAATAAGGCCTTATTAAGGGCTTATCCTTGGGTTATCCTGGGCTTATCTAGGGATAGCCTTTTCGCATAGCCCCCCCCGAAGATTCCATGAAAGGCACAAAAAGACTGCACACCACGAGAAACATTGGCGATATGTCGCGTTCTACCACAGAGAAGGCACAGGTTTCCATGCATTTCTGCGTGGGGTACCAGGCTATGGTTTCCCCCTTGTTCGGGGCAATTTTGCAAAAAGAACAGCTGTTGGTTCACTTGCCAGGCGCCCATGCCCCACTTGGGCCCCCTTGTTTCCTAACTGCTATTGGGTTGGATCTTTAGACTTCAACTTTTTGGGAAATCAACGGGTTTTCCACTAAACCCCAAAAAGTTAAACTTTTTGCAGGGGGGTCAACAGCAACCAAGGTTTGGCCAAAAAGCTTGGGGAGGCGGACGTGGTCCTGTACAATGCCGCCCTGTCGGCCTGCGACCGCGCGGGGGAATGGCAGCGGGCGCTGGCCCTGCTGTCGGAGCCTCCTGCTGGTTGATGTGAGTTCCAGCGACCCCATTTTGGGATGCTCCTTTTTTGACTACCTATTGTTTGTTAAAGGAATCTAGAGGAACAACGGGGCATTTGTAGGGTCGCTTACTTGGGAACCTCTAGATTCAGTGCAATGAGTGGAGATGTGCAGTTAAATTCCGTTTGTGTACCCGTAGGTTGTGGCAATGGACGTGTAAACGGGTACCCTTGTTGGTTGGTGCTTGTTTTGAAGGGAAGCCGCGAAGAAACCCCGGAGACAAACCGACTTGTGCTCTGGTTAAAATTCCCTTTTACCTGGGGTTGGTAAGGATTGTCATAGATCCCTTACTGGGGAATTTAGGATTTAGGCAGCCATGATAAGGATTCCTCCCATCGTCTCGGATCTCGTGGTCTTGCCCACATCCGGCAAAAGTCAAGCAGAGAAGGTGCAGGTGACTTTTGTCCATGGCGCGTTATCTTTTCTTGAGGGTACTCTTTGGTGTCATTTTGGGCGGTCCCATCGAAGAAAGACCCAGCCACTGGTCCTTGAAGCCGTGAGGAGTGCCATTTTCGACAGCTGCGGCTGGATCTTGTGTCCTTCAACTGTGCCATCAGCGCATGCGAGAAGAACCTCGGCACTGCATCGATCACACTGGCCATTTGTGCCATGGTCAAAACGCATAATTTGACTTGGGGTTGGTACGAATAATCATTTGACGCTTGTATTTTTAGGGGAGGGCTTTGACAACCATGCAAGGCCTGTGATGGCAAGCATGACTTGTGACCCACAAAAGGAGTTTGGGGGATTGACCAAGGCACATTTGCAGCGTTTGGGGTAGAGCTTGTTTGATAGAATTCTGTGCTTGAAGGTTCACCAAGTGTGGACCGGAGTCCGCGAGTATTTTGGTGTTCGGGGCAAGCTGAGGTTGAGGTTGTGTTATTTTGATGCTACCCTTTTTTGGGCTTCGAAGCAGCGGAGTCCCCGAGTGCTTTTTTGTTGATATTTGTCAGTGTTGGTGTTCCAGGTTTAGTCTCGTCATAAATCGCCACTCCTTTCCCCAAGGGGGCAACGCTTCCTGTTGGGTGGTCTTTCGGGTTTGGTCTACTTGAAGCCACGGACGAAAGAGGTTGACCTAGTTGCAAGCCTTGGACAAATGTCGGTTTCCTCTTGGGATCGGTATGTCAAATTGGGCCAATGTAGCGAATGGACCGCCTTTCTCCCAATTCGTGGTTGGCTTGCGTTCGGAGAGTAAGGGCTACCTTCCCAGGTTCAAGAGGAACTGGAGGTTCCAATCCGCAGTTGCCCCCAATCCAACCACCAATTTTAAGGGTGAATATGTCAACACCGGACTAATCAACCTGGCGGATTCTTTGAGAGGGGTCCCCAAAGCTCATCCGGATCCCAGCTTAAACGGAACGCCCTCCCCTTTCTATCTCGACTGGGGTTCGGCTTCCTGGGTTCCACCTGAACGGGGCCGTTGGGTGTTTGCAGATGGCACAATTCCAACCCACATCTACCGGGAATTGTCTGAACGGGCCGTGGGGTCTACACGACCCGCCTCAAGCGAGGACCGGGGAGTGGCAACAGGCACGGGCCCTGCTCTCGGAGATGCGAAGCCGCTCGCTGCGGGCGGACGTGATCTCCTACAGCAGCATGCTCCGGGCGTGCAAGGCAAAGCGGTGCGGGTGGCCCGTTTGGGTGAAAGGGGCATTAAACGAGAACCGCTCGTGTTTCGGAATTCTCCGTTAAGCTTTCCTCTTGGCCCTCGTGGGGCAAACTTTGAGGGGAACTCCGGAATCAACATTCCTCAAGCCTAAATGTCATTCGAAACATGTTTGGGCCTTACCTTTGAAAGCAATTCTGGATTCCTTTCGGTATGCAAGACTTGTCCACCATGGTTGGCAACAGATCCCCGTGCTTCTGATTGGCTTGCAGTTCGTCAGATTGGAATATAGGCCCCTTTTTGAGCCGCTACCTTGTGTCGCCTTTTAGCGGGATACCACAAAAGGCTCTTAATCGGACCCGAGTGAGCTGTGTTTGGCAGATTCTCAAACTCGCTCTCGGAGATTCATGTCCTTTACGCCGCCTTCTGACAGATAATGTTGAGGCCCACGGGCAGTTCATCCATACTACCCGTCTATATTGAACAAACATCATTTCCTTTGGATCTCCTTTGGGTCTCCTTGCTTCCGAAGTGATTGACTTCCAGCGTTGAACCGGGGACCACCTGGACTCGTTTGGCCAAGACGCAGCAAAGCCAACAGATCGACTGTTCTTATCGCTCTGAAGGCAGGCGGGATGCAGGACGCTGGCAAGCCGTGAGAATACGGTTACATCTTGAGACAAAATATAAGTCCCTGGTTAATTCATATTGGGACGTCTTTGTTTCCAGTTTGGTAATCCTTCAACCACCCCGGGTGGATGGACCGCATTCCACGCGTATGAATGAAGCCCTACCGGGAACCGCCCACAGCTGAATCCGCCGGGTATTGCACAATCCAAGGGCTGAAAGGGAGACGTCGCGATTGAGGCGTCGCTGCGAATTGGGGACACTCTTTTGGTTGCTGTTTGACGGGACATCTAAAAGGGCAAATGTAATTTCTCTGTTTTTGCAGGGAAAAAATGATCCCAGAAAGGAACTGCAGGTATTAACTCTAGTCAGTTTGAAGCCTCCATTGTCGCATATGGACTCCAGCCCTTAATGGGCTCCAAAATATAGGGACCGCTTTGGTTCTCTCTTTTGTTGTCCAACCGTCAAGCTTTAACTGGGGACCACTTACCTGACCTCTTTCCCGCGGGTGGCCTCTTTTTCGCTGGCAGTTCCGGGCAGGAAGCCTACGGCTGGCAGCAAAGCCTCGGGTGGCTGGAGGACTTGGAAGCGCGGGCACTGCTGCCGGACCTCATCTGCGACTCTGCCTGTTCTCGGAGCCAATGAAAGGTACAGCTTGGGTTGAGCCAAGCTCAAGTAGCCCCAAAGGAGATTCCTACACATGTCCATCCCATTGTAGGTAGGAAGCTGTTAATTATGGTGGAAACAAAGGACCCCCGCATTATTGGAGTAGGTCCACGTAGGGAACATCTAAAGAATCATGAACATGCAAAGTTGTCTCAAATGTTAAAGGGACCCTACTTAAAGGGGCAGGGTACTTAGTAAGTGGTTAGTAAGCCTGGTTAAAATCCACTGAACGGAGACTTGTAACAGTGGCTTTTGTGGGTTATAACCACTTACTCAGCACAATGCCCCTTCGTCTTGGCAAATTGCAATAACTCCGAAACTGCAAACAAGGGAATTCGCCCAGCAGAGGACATTTCTCATGCCAAGCTGACCGTTTTGGGTTTTTTCTTCTTCGTTGCTTTTTTTGCCCAAAAAGGCCAAACAACACGAAAAAAAACGGCCTTCCGCTTGGGTTTGGCCGGTTGCAGCGTTCCTCTCGCTTCACAGGTTGCAGCGCGGCCGCCGCCGCCTGTGAAGCCTCCGGGAGCGCCTGGAAGGCAGCGGTTGAGGTGGCGAAGCGGCTCGGGCTCAAGGCAGCGGCTCGGCGAGGGAAGTTTTCACCCTGCGCTGTGGGTTCCATTTTGCGGGGGTCCCTATATTTCCGTTTTTGGAGGTGAGTGTTTTTGTTGGTGGGGTGATGTTTTTTTTTCAGGGGAAGTGGACTGGCCATAAACTTTTAGGCCAAGCCCGCCCTTTGGTTTAATTGCACCTGTTGGGGTTGATATGTAGGGAGGAAATACAGGGAGCCCTATGTCTCCCATGATCACGACTTGTTTGGGGGTGTCCTTTCTTTTCGGGGGGGGGACCCCAACAACTTGTCTTTGTCCTTGTGTGTTCCCTTCAAAATAAAAGGAACGGGTACCCTTCAACAAAGCAGCCCCACATGTTTGTTGATTCTGGGGAAACTCAAAGTCAGGGGTTCTTTTCGCCCATCATGTTTTGTTGAGTAACTGCAAGGATTCCCAGGGCTCGGCAGGGTCCCAGAGCCATGGTTACGCAGTGGTGGTCTGGGGATGGAACGGGGGTTAAAAGGGTAGGGGTAGGGGCTTGAAAAGGATTGAACAAGGGGATTGAAAGGGGATTGAACATGAGATCAATTGAAACCGGCGGTTAGCTGAGGGTTCACCGGGGGTTACTTGGGGTGGTTCAGGGGTTCATTGGCGGTAAACCTGGAGCTATCTGGTGTTAACTGTTAACTGGGCATTTTGTGGGTTGGTTATGTGAGCGGTCAGGAGTCCATGGTGTGCTTGGGCGGGACGTCGGGACTCCCTATTTTTTTCACAAAAGCCAGGAGTACTCACTATGTGTCCCCGTCCTTGACAGGGAGCCGCATATTTCGACCGTGGCTGTGAGTTTTCGTGGCATTCGACGAGGATATGGTGGCATGCAACACGGCGCTGAGTGCATGCTGCAAGAGCACACGCTGGGAAGTTGCCCAGGAGAGGGCCAGAAGGGGTGTAGGGTCCTGGAATATCACTAGCTGGTGGTTGGGAGGGAGCCGTTGCGGAGTTGGAGTTATCTAGATGTTTAAACTTGCTTTTTAAGAGGGAGCTAAGGAGCTACCAGGACGGTAAGGACAAACACGAAACGGGTACATCAAGGAAGATCAGACACACGGCCACGAAACTTATTTGGTTGGAGCATTTTGAGTGATGGCTATGAAATAGATGGAAACACTGAAAGGAAGTAGACGTAGATATAAGATGGCTATGAAACTTAATGGTTGGATCACGATGACAAATGCTTCGATTTGCACAAGTCCAATTGATGTCCACGCAAAGATCCCTAGTTGGTATCTATACCCAAATTGGTTCATCAAGGGGACAACAACCACAGACTTACCAAGGGGGGATTGTTTGAAAGCACCTGCTGGATGTCTCAAAGGAGCAGCCGGGGAAATGTAGGCAGTCTTGGCTATGCTTGTTAATCTCGTGCTTTGGTGTGTCAGAAATGTCGATGTTTCACCAGCCAAGCGAATCACATTTTTTGTCGGGTGGCAGCTTGATCAACCCAGTAGAAGGTATAGATGCATTAACAAAGAAAACGCCAGGGGCAGCGAGTCAACGGATGTGTGTGGTGCCGGAATGCTGAATCCCTTGTAAACATGTCGCATGGCTGAACAAAACAAACTCTTTTCGGTTTCAGAGACCCTACCAGCCCCACCTCCAATCACCCCCCAAAGCATTCAGGCCTTTCAAGTGCCTTTTGGGCCGGGGGCTCCAATTTTGTTAAACATGCGCAGGGGTGGCTCCTGACCCTTCTGGCAGCACAGCTGCGGATGACCACCAACACGCTGAAGCTCGGTCTTCCGCAAGAAAGCGGGCAATGCGATACGCCCTGAACCCATCTGACTCAGAGCATAGCAAGGGGAGCCATTGCAGCCTAGTGACTAGGGATGAGTGACCGTCAAGGGCCACCGAAGGGCCACGTTGTTGCGAGGCCTTGCTATGGCTCTGTGTCAGTCTTGGACCGGGATTGAGGTTCGGGAACCCCTGGTCTTGGTTCGACAACCGAAGTCATGGTGGGAGTCCCCGAAAATTACTTTTTTTTCAACAATGCCCGAACACGACATTTGCATGGCTAAACTGGATTGCAACCACACAGGCGCCAACAAAGTCAATCCGACAGCGTGCGGGGCCTCCAGCATGCTGACTGATGCCACGGCAAGGAAACTCAGTCAAACCAAAATGGAACCAAGGCAGCGTTGACCCCTGATCAGTAGCAGCCTTTGCTGTTACCAAGATCACGGTTCCTGCTCGGTGGAGATTCTCCACGACGGCATGCCGAGGCGCATTCCTAAAAAGTACCTGAACGAATTTTCGAAGCAGAGAGCGGGCATGTGACAATAGCATGTCCAGTCGGCCTTTGGCCGCTTTGGTCTCCGCGTTTCGTGGGAAAATAATTCGCCCGTTCCATCCGAGGTTCGAACTGTTTGAATGCCCAGCTTGAAGGGGCGGCGTATGAGCAGCACCCATCAAGACGAACACAAAAGGCCTCCTGGCCTTTGGAATCAGCCCACGCTGGTGGCGCATGTAACCAACTCTGCGCAACACTTTCGTACGAGTTCAAATGTCTCAACCGCTCTCGCGTTTTTTAATCTGTAGCTGGCTGACCAGAAGCATCCAATAGTCACAGTATTTTGTGTGCTTGCGGCTCGCTGCCCTTCTCAAAGGGTACTTTCAAGGGAAGCCAAACAAAAAACCCAGCCATTTTGATCCAGATCTTCAGAAGGCTACTGCGCCTCACAATTCGGGACCCCCAAAATGGGTGCTTGTTTCGGCTTGGTTTCTCTTGAAACCCAAGCCGAAACGGCGTACCCTCAAGAAAAGTTCAAAAGCCCGCACCCAAGCGAGCCAAGGAACGGCCTGGTCTTAGGCTACGCCGCGGACTTCCGACAAACCGTCTGGCGCCGGGCGGCCGCGTCGCTCGATCGCGAGTGGAAGGCGGACCTGGCGACCTTTAACCAGGCGAAGCGCGAAGCCAGCGGCATGTGCTGAGTGGCCTGCTTCCTTTCTTCAACTGCTTGGAGTTTATGTTTGAATTGAGCTGCTAAGCAGGCAAGGGCACTAATTTCACATGGCCATTGGGGGTTTAAAATGTTTTTAGTGGGCTTGAGCATTGCAGAATTCGGACGAACCGACCAGACAATCTTACAGAAGAGACCCCGCGACACACAGCAAGCTGCAGCAGGGTTGCAAGAAGCAGGTTGGTTGGGAGCCCCCACTTCTTTAACAGGGAACGTTAATACGGAGGGGCATAAATTTGGAAGGCCTTCCATCAATTCCATCAATACCATGGAAGCTGGAATTTTCAACACTTCTGAGATTAATCGATGGGTTGCACGGATCAGGGCTCGGGTTTTGATGGGTTGGGCCCCAAAAGGTTGTTGGAGTTTTGTGCCTTTGCTTCCCCCGAGCATGGGTAGTTGAAACCTTCTGGCCAATTCAAAGGTCCCTGACGAGCATAGACCGCCCTACAAAAGGGGTGTTGAAAGGAAGGCGTTTTCTTTGCAGTTGCATTTGCAAAGGGTATGGAGGGTCAATGTTAATCTGCAGGGGGCAGCACGCTTACAACGAGCAAAGGCTTCGCATCGACAGACCATGTGACAAAGGGACAGATGGGAGATGCCAACGCATCCAGACCATACACCCTGTGTCTTGCGTGTGTGTCCTGAGTTTGGGTGGGTTTTCCTGGTCTTCTGGCCCTATCGGTCATTTGGGCAACTATATAGCTCTCGGTTTCCTAAGAGGACAACCAACGACACTTACAAAGATTGATTGGGTAAGGGACGCACTCGACATCCCGGAACTGTTCCTGTGGCCCATATTTGGGCAATGCCCTCTACCAGTGTTGAAGTTTGTGTAAGGGGTGGATTACCAAGACCCCCCCAACAAAAGAAAACAAAGCATGTGTTTACCGCCAAAGACAAGGTCTGGGTGGGTGAACTTCTTCATTGTTCATGGTTTTGGGAGCGGTGAGTAGTGTCCCCCAAGGGCGCAGCCGAAAGCAACTAAGCCATCAGCAATAAGTTAAGTAATAAGAGTCTGCCTCGCCCAGTGGCTCCCTCTTGTAATGTTCACATCCAAACAACCACAGCACCAAGCGGAATAGGCTCCAAAATCACTGAAGGAGGCTCAAGCCGCTATGCAGCCTGAGATGATGTTTCTGGGACGCCTTGCCACGGCTTGAATAATTTCCCTCTGGACTGGACATGGCCATCCATCTCCCAAAAAAAGGGTTCTGCATGGTGTGCTTGCTGAGTCCGGTGAACTTCCCCTTTCGCTGGGCCAAAATCCCCAGGTGGCGGAGCTTTTGGCGCGGGGGGACGGCTCCGAGCGGCGCGCGGCGACGGCGCGGTGCCTGGGATCGGTGGCGCTGGCCGGGGAGGACCTACTGCGCCGGGGCTCGCGGCGATGGCTTTTGCGGGAGGTAACAAAATGACGCGCTGGGAAGAAATGGCATGCACAGGGAGACCAGGTATGATTGATTGAGGGATACGCTTGTCACGATCATCATCATGTTGTTGTATAGATTTCAGCTGTGACTTGTTTCCTTCTGTTGTTTGAAGGGAGGGTTGTTTTTGGGGGATGGATCTCTGCCTAGCTGTCAACTTGGTGGCGTGAGGGCAAACAGCATGGGAGCTGGGCTTGTGGCGAAAGGGAAGTGGAGGGATCCCCACCGGCCCCGCGACCAATGGGTTTTTGCTCGACGGAGATTTTCATATGCGTGTCGTGTTCTGAGGTACTCTTTTCGCCTTTGGTTTAAAGGGGGGGAACAACTTTCATTTATCGGGTTCCCCCTTCTTTGACACATACCCATGTCTCAAGACTAGACGAATTAAATTGGGGGACGCCCCATCCTGGGTGCCCAAGGTAGAAGGCATGAATGAGCAGGTGTTTGCCAGCCAAGGGCTTGGGAAATACCGTGGGCAGGAAAAAAAGGGAAGTCGGTGGAAGCCGGAAAACACTGGGGTGGGCAGGAAAGCATTCAGACGTAAACGGGGCAGGGACAAACAAGAAGGACGGACCCCCTTGAAATTCAATGGAGCTGCAAACTGATGTCTAAAGCAGGCAAAGAGAAATACTGGGAGAACTGCAATTGCTTGTTTGGAGGTTAGGCTTTGGGTACGTTCCAATTCGAGAAATCAAGAAGAAGGAGGAGGAGGTTTGGGCAGCTTTGAGTTAGAGTTGTGAGGCAATCGGTATGTGCAGATTAGGGTCATGCTCATGCTCCTTCTCTCGGGGAAGCCTCTTTGTTTTCAGGGATCCTTCGTTCCAGAAAGCCACCGACAACCCGGGGAACAACTGGTTTTTGAGAAAAGAGCGATGGTTAGAAAGAATGGAAGAGGACCCTAGATCGTCCAATTCCGGATGTTTGCCCCGGGTTGGGCAAAAATAATTCAGCCAGACTCGAAAAGTATTTGTATCGTTTTTGAAGCGCAGCCAACAGGTCGTTAATTGGCCAGTCTGGTCGTTTAAACATGTTCAGGGTGATTTCCCACTTTGGTATCATCAGCGGTTGCTTCTGGACTCTCACGCTACCCATACAAGTTTGAAGTTCACCCCATAATGTTGGCGCAATATTCAAGTTAAGGGCAGTTTTTGTCGGGTCCACGCAGTCGATCTCTCCAAATGCCGCTGTTGCCTGCTCGGTTCGAGACGCGATGGCACAACGCCACGCGCGACCGAACCGATACAGGTGGAGGCGGGACTGGGCGAGTGGGTTTGTCTCTTAATGCGAAGGCTCCAGAACAGGTGTTTCCATTTGGCTTCCCTTTGAACAAAACTCAAGTGAAAAAATCAAGCACCTGTTTGGTTCCCGCTATAACAAGCCCGGGTTTCGGGTGGAAGAGCCTTGAAATGCACCCGGTTTCCCTTCAAACGACACAGGCGACCTCTTGGAATTTCTGTATCAGACTGGAAGCTTTCAGCTTCCCAGAACTGAGATGGGAAGCCACCGGAAAGACTCTGGCGTCTTTGGAGGAAAGCGCCACCCAGAAAGGGTAAAAACCCGTGAATCTTGGCTTTCCGATTTCCTGTTTGTCTACTTGCCTGGAAGATATTTCCAAAAACATGATACGTCGTTGTTTTTTGCTTTTCTGGGCATCATGGAAATCGAAGGTCCCATATATGTATCTGAACCTTATGGATGGGACATATTGCTGTAAATGATGTTCACTACTTTAGCTGCAAGCAAGAATATAAAGGCCACGCATCTGTTCACCAGGTTTCCTTTTTGATGCCTTGAACAATGACAGCAGCAAGGAAACCTCAACCAACATTGGCGATGTTGAAGCCATCAAAAAAAGGGACATCTAGTTGGGCTTATACCTAGAGATTCGATGCGGCAGAAATTTCTGCCGCAAATCAAAAAAGGCGCCTTTTTGGATTTGCGGCATGTCTTCCTGATTTGCGGCGTTTTTTTAGAATTGCGGCAGAACTTGTTTTCAGTTTTTGCTACCCCCCGATTTGCGGCGGAAATCGGCGGGAATGCGGCGGAAATCGGCGGGAATGCGGCGGAAATTCCCGGAAAGCAAACGGTGTTGCGGCGTTTTTGTTTTGGTTGCGGCGTTTGTTTTTGTTTGCGGCTGATTTTCTGGAATGCGGCGGGAATTTCCGCCGCAATGCGTTGCGGCAGAAATTTCCGCCGCAGGAAGTTCTAGGTATGTTGATTCTAGCTTCAAACGGCTTATTTTGCAAACCCGTCAGGGTTTGCCAGCCAGGATACGGACTCCATCCGCATTGATTTTTTTCCCTCTCGCGCATGGATTCATACATTCAGCCTCAAAGTTGGCTTTCCTTCCAGGGTTTATCGCTTGACCCATCACCCCCCTCTTGAGGAACAACACCATTAAGGGGCTCGCGAATTGCATCATTGTCTTAGGATCATGGCATCAGTTGGTTTCACAGTACCCCACAATGCCATTTCATTCATTTAGGCACTCAAACCAGATCTTACCACATTCACCTGACCCAAGATGGTGGTATCCTTTTGGTTTGGCGGACATGCTCAAGTTTTGAATGGCCAAATTGCATCTTTGAAGGAGCCGATTCAGTTCAGTGGACACGCAGCAGGGATGAGTGAAGCGGACGTCTCTTCGCTTGCGCCAGGCTCTGGGCCTTCGGCTTCGCTCGAGTGAAGTCGGAGGCTCGCTCTCGCAGGGCTTTCGGAAGCCCCGAGGTCCAAGCAGTCGTGGGGGGTTGCTTTGTGGGTTTTGCCGGTCCGCAAAAAGTTCGTGGCAGTGGACTCAACCACCATTTTCCACACCTGTTCCACGAAGCTGCTAGTTCTCCTTTGCTAGTTTCCTCGTCGCTCGGTGCAAACAGCATGGCAAGGATCGGGAAAGAAGCCACCTTTGGGCCCCGAAGATGTAGAAATTTCTTTCCGGGGGCCTGTTTATTCTGCTCCAGATGCTGTCTGCAACAGGCAACCCGGAAAGGAACATCACCTGTAACGATTCTTGACGTTCCTTTGAGAGCCAAAGGGCCCTCAGGCCTACCAGTTCTCCAACTCTGCATCTGCAAGCTCTGCAAGTGACTCATTTGTTGCCCCCGGCAAAGGCCGCCTTTTGCTGGCAACCCAGGATTCTGGTTGATTAGCCAGGTGCCCCATATGGTCCCATTTCAGCGGGAAGGTGGTGTTCGACAGGACGAGCGATGCACTGATGCTGGGAATTCTGGCAGGCTCGTCGGGAGGGTTTGCTAACTTTGAACCAGTGGTCGAGTGGCACCCTTTTCCCAAAAGTGTTCGATCGCTCTACTTCCTCCATGTCCAAACATCCTTCTTTTCGAGTGGCGAATCTGGCATTGGAAGTTTCTCAACGCGCATCAACCTATATCAACCTGCATATCAGGGTCCAACTTGATGTCCTTGAAACGGGGATTTGGCGGAAGCTAATGTCGCTAATGTGAGATTACAGCCGCCAACCCGTGGACACAAGTGTGTTGATTGAGGACTCTATGTTCCAATGTCTATGAAGGGACCAACCCTTTTGGATGATGTTTCGAAAGACACTTGTATGATCTTGTATGCTGGCAAGCCAGTTGACGGAAGTCAACCTTCCCGCTCAATGCCTTGGCTTTCCCTTATCCATCCTGCCTTGCAATCTCCCCAATCCAAATCTCACTTCCGATAGATTCAGCTGCTCTGGAGGGTGAATCTAGAAGCCACTCCCATTGTTCGAAGCGCAAATTCAACTTTAAGGAAGAGGGAAATCCTTAGCTGACCATGGTGTAGGTGGCCTTTTGATTGTTTTTTACCAGGCCCAAGGCAAAGTGGGGGTCATTTTTTGAGGTGGAAACCAAAGGGAAACCAACCTGTTGGGGGGGTTCCTCATTTGAGTTTGTCTCAGAATAAGCCAAATTGGGGGGTTCCCTCTAGCTTCCCTTTAGCCAACCAAACATGGGTAACTTCAAGAACGACACACCCATTTCGCAAGATTCGCCAGGATGCTTCCTGCTCAGCTTCGGCTCTGGCTTGGATCTGGCCGGGGGGGGGGGGTTGGGGGGATTGGGGGAGCCGACCAGGAGAGTTATTCGCACTCTGCAACAAGGGGGAAGCCCCATTCTTGCTTACCTTTAAGCTTGCTTGGGTGCCAAAAAAACTACATTTGTTTAGTAATCCCCCCCATGGAGATCATAGCGAGATTGATATGTTTGAGAATTTGTTGGACACGTATTAGGACCCTCTTTGGGTTGACTGAAATAGCCTTTAGCCTCTTGGAAAATTACTCATTCTTCCAGTGGCCATGTTTTCTACTGTTTGCTTTGGGCAAATTCAAGTGTTTTGTGCACCAAAATTTCCCTCTATGTCTATCCCCAGATTCAACCGGATTCGTGTGACCAGAAAACCTCGAGTGTTGTTCCCGAGTTTCTCACTACACGGAACTAATCCGAGAAGCTGCTTTTGAAGCGGATTCCCTTGGTTTCCACACCAAGTTTGGTTCCAACCCCTTAGGAAACAGCCGTGTTTGAGCGTTCGTTATTTCAGGTTTTGAAATTGCAGTAAACAAATGCTGATCTGTAGCAATTGCACTTTTTTTTTCACGCCCATGGAAAGAAATTTCCAGCCCACATGGTGCAGTGTTTCGGTGGGCAGCCAACCCCTTTCAAAGAGTATGAGTCCTGCATGGGGCTTTGAAGCTTTGTTGTGGGTTTTGGGTGAAACGTGGAAGTTGAGATGATGGCAGTCATCTATGTCTGTGCGTTTGTGCTTCTTGTCATACAAGGTTCGGTTAAACGATCCGGTAGGGGCTCACTGAATTTCCCACCAGGCCTGGGAGCCACAAATTTTACCAGGTCCTCTTGGGAGAAATTCATTTTGACCCTGGCAGAGCAGACTCGAAAGAGGAGCCATTGCAGGCTATTCGAGGCCTTTTCCGGGGACCAAGATCATTGGGTTGCCTTGTCCCGGGAATTTGCAGCAACGTGTATTTTCAGTGTTGATGTAAAATCG